TCCTGACTAAATTATTTATTTTTTTGATGTGGTAAAATACATGTAACAATATGTACCATTTATGGCATGTAGCCCTCGGATAATGGTGTTCAATCCTCACCTCTTTCTAGTTCCAGATCATTCTTATCTTCCCATTACCACTCACTCCTCGCCTTCCTCCCTCCCTCCCGCCCTGGGCAGCCATGACCTCTGTGGCTTCACCTGTTGTGGGAGTGTCATGTGATCAGAATCGTACACTCTGTGACCTTGTGTGTCTGACTTCTCCCACTCGGTATCATCTTGTCCAGGTTCATCCACACTACAGAATGGATCACTACTTCATCCCTTTTTCTGGCTAAATAATACTCCACTGTGTGAGTGGACCACATTTGGCTGATACGTTTACCTTTTGTTGGACATTTGGGTTGTTTCCATCAGAGAATGTGTTTTATTTAGTTGTCTGCAGCTGGATTTTAGAACTGTTAACTAATTAGATGCGTGGTACGTGGTGTTAACCTTTGTTCTGTTTTCCTGAGTCCCACATTGGGGCAGCTGTGCCCCGTGTTGTCGTCATCACCTATGACTTCCAAGTCTGATTTATTTATTTCTTCCCAGTGTGGGGAAAGTGACTAGTAAGTATTGGAAAATAAGAATATTTCAGGGCTGGTGGAGCAGCTCAAGTGGTAGGAGTGCCTGCCTAGCAAGCGTGAAGCCCCAAGTTCAAATCCCAGTGCCACCAAAATAAGTAAATAAATAAATCCAGTACTGCAAAAAATATTTAGTAATAATAACAATATTTTTTGAGACAGGGTCTAACTACACAGCCCTGGCTATCCTTCAACTCTTGATCCTACTGCCTCAGCCTCCTTAGAGCTGGGATTACAAGTGTGCGCTGCCATACTTGGCAATAATTCTTTTGTTGTTGTTTTGTTTGAGACAGGGTCTTAATATGGAGCCCAGGATGGCCAATCATTCTTTTTGTTGTTGTGGTTGTTTTGCAGTACTGGGGTTTGAACTCAGGGCCTTCACCTTGAGCCACTCCACCAGCCCTTTTTCTGTGATGGATTTTTTTGAGATAGGGTCTCACGAACTATTTCCCTGGGCTGGCTTCGAACCGTGATCCTCCTGATCTCTGCCTCCTGTGTAGTTAGGATTACAGGCGTGAGCCACTGGTGCCCTGCTGGATGATCATTCTTAACTCTATGTGCCAGACACTTTGGTAGGCATGGAAAGTTGAGTATATAAAAAAAAAAAAAGAACAGAAAGTGCTCTGATTCAGCTTTTTTCCTCCCAGTACTAGGGTTTGAACTCGGGGCCTCCCAATTGCTTAGACAAGTGCTCTACCACTTGAGCCACACCCCGGCCCTTTTTTTGCTATTTTTGAGATAGGGTCTTGTGTTTTTGCCTGGGCCAACCTGGATGGAGATCCTCCTATGTATGTTTCTGAGTAGCTGAGGGGACAGGTGCTACCACCATGCCCAGTTTTTTGTTGTTGTTGAGATGGAGTCTCTAACTTTTTCCCTGAGACTAGCCTTGGGCCACGATCCTCCCGATCTCCACCTCCCAAGTAGCTGGGATTATAGCTGTGTGCTACCTCACCAGCACCAGCTCAATCTCTGATGTGGGGGAAAAGAGACAGGTAATATACAAATTAATGAAGAAACAGAGGTGACTGGTGATAACTTCAGAAAAAAGCTGAGGGGTGGTCTTCTTTCCTTTTGTGGGGCTGCGGATGGAACTCAGGGTCTCCATCATGCACCCTGAGCCACACCCCTGCCCCAAGGATGAGTTACAGCCACTGTGGTTTACAGATGGCTGCTGTCACTCGTGGGCTGAGTGACTAGGGACTCTGAAGAGACAGCATCTGAGAAGAGATCTGAATAGCAGGACCCAGGCATGGGATGAATCAGTTCTAGCAGAGGGAAAAGCAGTGCAAAGGCCCTGTGGTGGGAAGGTGGGTGCGAGGGGTGCTTTGAAGGAAGCATGAAGGCTGGAATAGAGTGACCCAAGGGGACAGGGTCAGAAGATCCTATCTGAGAAGCAGGCAGGACACTTTCTGCCCAGGGTTAGCACTTTGGATCTTTATTCTAAGTTCCGTGGGGAGCTTTAGGAGGGTGAGGTTGTGGATGACACAGGATAAAAAAACATCAATGAACTCAAGATATGTTTAGAGACAGAGCTGATGGGTCTTGATAACAGATTAGAGCGAGGGCTGAGGAAAGAGAGAAAAGGAAGCTGACTCCTAGGTTTTGAGGGTGAAGAACTAGATGGATTGGAGCTGGTGGAGGGGTTCAAGTGACACAGAGATTGCCTAGTAAGCCGAGGCCCCGGGTTCAGTCCCCAGTACCACAAAATAAAAACCAAAACTGAGCGGCAGGGTGCTCGTGACTCACACCTGTAATTCTAGCTACTTGGGAGGCTGAGATTGGGAGGATGGAGGTTTGAGGCAAATAGTTCTCCAGACCCCATCTGCAAAATACCCAGAGCAAAATGGACAGGAGGTGTGGCTCAAGCTGTAGAGTACCTGCTTTGCAAGTGTGAAGCCCTGAGTTCAAATCCCAGTCCCACCAAAAATAAAAATTAAGAAACTGAGTGGGTGCAGTTGTCACATGTAGAGGGAAGGAGTAGGTTTTTTTGGGGGGGAAGGAATGGGTTTTTGGAAGTGTTCAGTCTCAGATGTCTATTACACTGGGGGCCAGTGGGTGGATCTGAGGCCAAAGCCCAGGGGAACCTGAGGGCTAGAGAGATGTCAACTTGGGAGACTCCACACAGAGGTGGTGTTGAAAGCGTGAGACTGGAGATTTCCAGGGTTGTGGTCCTAGCAGGAAAGAGACTGCGTATCCAAAAGGAGTAATTGAGAGCCGGGTGTAGTGGTGCACACCTGTAATCCCAGCACTGGAAGGCTAAAGGCAGGAGGATCTCGAGTTCGAGATCAGCCTGGGCTGCATAGGGAAACCCTGTTTCAAAAAATGAAAAGTAACAGGAGAATTTCATGAAGAGATGGTTCATAAGGCAAGCCACGGGGACACTGCCGTACCCAAGCTCAGCAACGCCCGCACACTGGAGAGGGCTGTGGTGTGGAGGCACCACTTGGATGTAGACAGTGGCAGGGCCAGGGCTCCTCTTTCTCTCTGAGGGGGCTCCTCTCTGTCCCATCAGCTGACCCTAAGGAAGCAGAGGAGGAAACAACAATGGTCAGAGCTGTCCTTGGACAGGGAAGGCTCAGTAGGATGGGCGCCAAAAGCTCTCTTAGCTCTGTCACCAAATAGCAAGAGCCCTATAGAGATTTTAAACTGTATTATTTATTTGCAGTGCAGGGGACCAAGTACAGAGCTTCTGGTAGAGCTCCAAGTTTGCTAGGCAAGCACTCTACCACTTGGGCCACTCCATCCAGCACTGATTTGTGTTGGATATTTTTGATACAGTCTCCTGAACTATTTGCTGGCACTGGCCTCCAACCTCGAGCCTCCTGATCTCTGCCTCCCCAGGAGCTGGGATTACAGGCGTGAGCCACTGGTGCCCAGCTCTCATTCCCATTTCAGACAGGGAACGTGAGCTTTGCAAATGGCTCACAGCTCGCCCAGGTTACGCGTGGAATGGAAGCCAGGTTGGCCCAATTCTAATTAGGCGAATGAGGTCCGAGGAAGGTTGGATGGTCAGAGGGAGGAGGCAGCAACTGGAGGCCCGGATGGAGGGGGGCAGGGAAGGCAGAAAGGGGCGATCAAATAGTGGGATTAGTGGGGGCTCCTGGTTGTGGGGGTGAGCGGGTTCTAGTGAACCCCCGCTTCCATCAGAGACAAGGTTGGGAAACGGTCTATCCTACCCCGCCACTGATGCCTCCTGTCCCTGGGTCTGGGCCTCCCCAGCCACCTGGGCCCAAGGTGACCGGCCTCCCACCGCACCTGCTTCGCTGCGCTGCGGGAGCGCCATGTGGGTGTCCCTCTCCTCCCTCAGTCTCCCTGGACATGCACTTGGCCGTGGCCGCCTGGCGGGCTTTGCAGGGAGGGGAGAGCAGAGGAAGTCACTTCTAGGCTTGGTGGGGACCGCAGAGCACCGCACCGAAGCTGGCGGAGCGCAGCCACTGGGTGGTGGGGGAGGGAGGGGACTTGGGCGCGCGGCAAGGTGGCTCCTGGCGCCCCCTCGGGCCGGAGCTGCGCGCGACAGCGGTGGAACATGGAGGGAGGACCTGGAGGCCAGGGAGTCGCCGGCCTCCCGCTGATCGCGGCTGGGCAGGGCTGCCGAGGACCCCGGAAGGTGACTTCGGGGGACCCCACCGCACATACACAGAGGGCCAATGGTTCTGACGCCCAGCCCTGCGCAGTACCGGGACCAAATCTGGGCACAAGCCGGTGACATGGGACTGACTAGGTGTCACAGTGCGTCCAGTGGGGGGACGGAGGCACATAGGTGACCCCCTTAGTAGCCCTTCTCCTAGAAGTGCTGTACCCTGAGTTGGCCCGAGCGCATCGGGGGACGGAATCCGGTGTCCCACCGAGGCGCCCCCGCCCCGAGGGCGTGGCCGGGGCGGGCCGAGTCCCGCGGCAGGTGCGGGGGCGGTGCCCAGCCCTGCCCGCCAGCGCCGTTCTCGGAGGCCAGCGGCGGGTCACTGCAGCGGCCGGGCCGGGCGACGCCTTAGAGCTGCGGGCGGCGACTGCGGTCACAGGTGCGGCGCAGGGAACCGTGGTCCTCGCCCTGCACGTCAAAATCCCGACTTGGGGGACCCGAGGCTTCCAAACTGCGCCGACACCGGGAGACCGAGGCCCCCGGGCCGGAGCGCGGGGCCAGAAGGCGACCCTGCCCTGGAGCCTCCTGCTGAGCAGGGCGACAAGGTCCCCGTGCGCTCGGCACAGCAGGACATCGAGACCCCCGAGCAAGACCACGAAGTCCTCCAGCAGGACGCCGAGCGCCCCGGGCCAGGTAGCGACGACCCTGGGTGGTGTCCCTCTCCCACCTCTGCGACCTCCTCCTCCTCCTCGGAGGCGGCGCCCCAGCTGCGTTTCCCACGGTGTCCCAAGGCACCCATGGAGACGCCCATCGAGCGGGAGATCCGCCGCAGCTGCGAACGCGAGGAGAGCCTGCGCCGGAGCCGCGGCCTGAGCCCGGGTCGCGCGGCCCAGGAGCTGGTGGCGCTGCGCGTGCGGCCGGTGCTCACGCGGCCCGGCCCGGGCCCCGCGCGGCCGCGCGCCTTGGAGCGCGCGCGGGCCGGAGCGCAGATGCAGCGCGACATCGCGCGCGAGGCTCACCGGCAGGCGGCGCTCGCGCCCCCCGCGGCCCCCGAGCCCCACGCCCCGCCGCCGCCGCTGGGCGAGCTCAGGCGCTTCTTTGAGGCCGCCGCGGGGAGCGGCTCGTCCGCAGCGTCGGAGGGCAGCGCGGGATCGCAGCGGCTGTCCGATCCTCCCGCAGGCCGGCCGCGATCGGCCGTGCAGGGCCGGTGCCCTGGGCTGCCGCGCGCCCCGCCGCCTGGCGCGCCTTCGCTGCTGGAGCTGGAGGTGCGCGAGGCGCTGGAGCGCGAGCGAGAGCTGCTGCGCCAGCGACACTGCATCTATGGCACCGCCGAGTTCAAGGAGCCCGCGCCCAGCCTCACCAGTAAGGCGTCACGCCCGGGAACCCCAGGGCGCCATCCAGCCGCATCCAACTCCGGTGTCCCTTTCTCTGTCCCTCGGATTCCCTGACCCCTCTCCACTTTTCATCCTTTGCCTAGCCCCACCTGGGATGATGGGTTCCCACGTCCACGCCACCTGGGCTTGGGGAGGTGGCGTTTCTAGGGGGGGGTGTCTTGGTTCCAGGGAACCCCAACTGAGTTCTGTTACTCCTGGATCCTCCCTCTGTATTTTCGGGCTTCTGTCCCTCTACTCTGGGTTTGCCTCGCTCATGTTCCTGGGTCCCCCAGAACTGGGTGGAGGCCTCCCTGGGTTGGAGGGGGGGTGAACACCTGTATGTGTTTAAGGGGTGCGGCCGGCTTCCTTCGTCCTGGCCGCCTCCAGCCGGTGAGAGGAGGGGCCACCCCGGCTGAGCGTCCCTTCCCCCGCAGCGAGCAGAGGCGACGGAAAATTGGCGGTGATCTGGCCCCCCCCCCAGAAAGATCTCAGAGAATGGCCTGGAACAGGTGGGCGCCCCTTCTCGCAAGTCCTTGTCACTTCTCCCACCCCACCCCACTCCACTGTGGCGCCAGGACGCTGGGAGGGGAAGGTGCATCCCCTGCACCCCCTCAAGTGCCACACTCTGGCCAGGGTGCAGTCGGGGTGGGGAGGGGGGAGTGTGAAGAAGAGGCGGTGGCCCTGGTGGCCAAAATGTCTCACTGTCTGCTTGGTTGCCATGTGTGGATCTTTGAAGGTGGCCTTCTCTCTGTCCTCTCCCCAGGAAGAGCGCAAACCTTGAGGTTTGAGTAGGGTGGGACCCCTAGCCGGGAAGTGACAGACTCATCGGAGGACCAGGGCAGGGGCGCCCAGCGGTGCCCCCTGGATGGGCAGAACGCCTGGAGAAGGGATCAGCCCTCTGCACTGGAGAACTTGCAAGCCACCAGCCCATCCTTGACCTTGACTTTGAGAAACTGATGAGTCCCCTCCATAAAACTGCTTACTGTCTACTGGGAAACTGATCAGCACCCAGGATCCCTTGAGTCTCCGCCCAATAGAGCTAACCTCTCCCTGGACTGTTAGAGGACCAAGCCACCCCCCTCTGCCCGCACACGCCGTCACAAATAAAGCCCCTTCTAGCCGGGCAGTGCAGGCTGTTTTCTTCTGGGTCCTCTTAGTCTGGGCGGGGCGGGAGCGCGGCGGGCGGAGGGAGGCCTGAAAAGCAGCGAGTGGCGCCGGCCGGAATGCTGGAATGCGCCCTTGTCGCCTGTTCCCGGGCTGCCCGCCTCCCCCGGCCGCACCGGCCCAGCACCACTGCCCTCTGGCGGCGCGGGCGAGTAGTGCGCTCTGACGGCCGGCTCGCGCCCTCAACTTCCATTGGTGCTGCGCTCTGGGCGCTGGAGAGTTGGGGTTGGAGTGAGGCTGTTCCGGCTGTAGATGTAAACTGCAGGAACATCTGACTGGGTTAGGTGACGTCCCGGTGATCACTCTCCTCTACCTATCTTTCCTCACTGGGAATAATGGAGAGAGGTCAGTTTCTGCTCTCCAAAAGCTACTAGGAGATGGACGCGGTGGTGCACTCCTGTAGTCCCAGTCACTCTAGAGGCTGAGACAGGATTGCTTGAGCCCAGTTGTTCAGGGTCGGCCTGGGCCACACTGTGAGTCCCTGACACAAAGAAAGCAATGTAACTGTAACCCAGTTTGTAAAAGAGAAATTTAGAGGCTGGTGATGTAGACCAGCAAGTGCAAATCCCAGTACCGCCGCCCCAAAACCTGAATTTTAATAGACTGTACTTAGAAGAGAACTTTTTTCTTTTGGTGGCACTGGGGTCTGAACTCAGGGCCTCATGCTTGCTAGGCAGGCGCTCCACCACTTGAGCCACCCCGCCAGCCCTGTTTTGTATTGGTTATTTTGGAGATAGAGCCTGGAGAACTGTTTCCCAGGGCTGGCTTTGAACCGCTATCCTCCTGATCTCTGCCTCCTGAGTTGCTAGAACAGGCATACGCCACCACCAGTGCCCTACTTAGCATAAATTTGAAGTAGTTTGCAATGGGGCCAGTTGCTGTCTACTTGCAAGCCCTTTTGGTAATTTCTTAATGAACACCTTATCTGCACAACTGCATCTGTGCAGATAACATTGCAATGACACAGACTCTGGTTATGTAATTCAGGCTGGCCTCGAACTTTTTTTGTGTGGTACTGGACTTGAACTCAGGGCCAACACCTTGAACCACTCCACCAGCCCCCCACCCACCCACACTTTTTTGTGATTTTTTTTTGCTAGATAGGGTCTTGAAAACTATTTGCCCGGCTGGCTTCGAACTGCGATCCTCCTGATCTCTGCCTCCTGAGTAGCTAGGATTATCCGGTACCGGGTTTGGCCTCGAACTCTTGATCCTTCTGCCTCAGCCTTCCTGGGGCTGGGATTACAGGCAGGCACCGCCACACCTGGAGGAGTGGTTACTTTTACAGCTTCTTACAAGTGCACTGAGACTTAAGAAAACATGAGAGCCAGAAGAGTTGTAGAATCGTTTACACTCCTAGATCTGTCCAAGTGTGTCTTCTGCACAGGGACAGCGAGTGTCCAGTGAAATATGAATCATATGGCCTTGCAATAGCAACTCAAGCGAGAAGGACCGGAGTCCTGAGTCCATCCGCAACATGCTGGCCACGCTCTGTGACTCCAGGACAGCTAGGGAGAAAGGCTGCAGATGTCTGGACTGCCAAAGTGGAAAATGGAAATTCTCAGAGCTTGCTCAGCTGGGATTACAGGCATGTACCACCACACCTGGCTCAGAGTCTCTTAATTCCCAGTAGGGAGGTAAGAACTAAGCACGTACAGAGGTGAGAGGACTCAGCTGGGTGCCAGTGGCTCACACCTGTAACCTTAGCTACTTGGGAGGCTGAGGTCAGTAGGATTGCAGCCTGAGGCCACCAACATGCACAAATCCCCAGTACTACAAAAAGAGTCCCAATCTGAGCTCATGATGAAACTGTCCGTGTGATTCCCAAGTTGAAAGTCATGGGTTTGGTCAGTTCCTCAACAGGACGACCCAGGAAATCAGCACGACCCTTCAGCTGCCAGGACTGCTGTGGCCACCCACCAGAAATCTTTAGTTTCCAAGCAGGTTGTGGATTTGGCTTATGGGGAACAACCAAAGCTGCTTAGCTCTAAGTGTTAACACACACCAGATTTCAAAGACTTAATTCACACATGCGCACACAAAGGCAAGTATCTCCTTCATTTTTCTCACGAGGATTATTGGTGAAACATTCTGATATACCAAGGTTAAATATCCCTAAAGTGAATCTGAGGTTTGCTTTTTGCAGTGCTGGGGATGGAACTCAGGCCTTATGCATGCTAGGCAAGTGCTGTACCACTGGGCCGCGCCCCCAGTCTCTGCACTGAAGAATCTTAACAGCTATGGGAAAAGTCACAGGGGCCACCTCAAGTCACTGACCAGGGAACTTCAGAACCTTCTTGAAGTCATTCTGATCCAGGTTCTGAATTAAAAAAAAAAATCCTTGATGCAAGCAGAAATGATCACCAGAAACCCCTCTGGATGAGCAAGGTTTTGGTGTCCAGTTTACCTCTCTTCTGTAAATCGGGCATTATAATAGTATGTGCTAGACACTCTTAGTAAGGGTTTTGCTTATGAGAATAAGGGCATGCTCTGGGTCTCCCAAATAGTTGGGATTACAGGCGAATTCTACTATGCTCAAATCTGCTTTTGATTTTTTTTGGGGGGTGGGATTGGGATTTGAACTCAGGACTTCATGCTTGCAATACAGGCACTCTACCACTTGAGCCACTCCACCAATCCATTCTGCTGATTATTTTGGAGACAGGGCCTCTAGAACTATTTGCCCGGCCTGGCCTGGAACCACGACCCTTCTGATCATAGCCTCCCAGGTAGCTGGAATTATAAGCGTGCACCACCGCACCTGGCTCTCCAAGTCTCTATTCTGATCCAAAAGCTGTCCTTTAGTGTAAAGAGGGTAACTGGCAGCAGAGTGGCACAGGATAAGGAAGGACAGCCTTTCTTCGCAGGGGCCAGTTGCAATGAAGAACCTGGTTCGAGTCCAGGTTCTGCCACTTGCTTTCGGGAGCACTGGTCAGAGGAGCTCGCTTCTTAGTCCCCAGTTCCCTCTAGAGTCTAAGTAGGGGATGACATTTAAGAGATCCCAAACTGAGCCTTCCTAGGACTTTCCCACCCCACCAGCGGCCCGGGACACCCCACAAAATACAGCGACACCCCAACACTCAAAAGCTGGAGCAGAAGACTTAGCTAATCTGGCCCTTCGGAAACTGAGCGCCAGCACGTTCCTAAAGCACGCCGGAAAATGTAGTCTTTCACGCTAGAAAGAAATAACTTCCGGGTTAAAATAGGAAAGTGGGCGTGGCCACAAGGCTCTTCCTTCAGTGGGCGTGACATTTCCCTGTTACACGAAACTTTCAGTTTCTGAGTTCCGGTTGTTGACAGGAGCAGCTACTTCCCTTTTTGCTTCATGTGCGCCTCTGCGCATGCGCCGCTTTCTCTCCTTACCGGTCGGCCTACGAGGGTTCTCCGCCTGGGGACTACATTTCCCAGAAGCAGCGGGCGCGAGTGGGCGCAGCATCCCCGCCCCAAGGGGAGGGGCGCGGCGCTCGGAGCGGACGCGGAGACTGTGACCTCTTTTCTTTCTTTTATTTAACGAAAAACTGGTGCGTCTGCACTTCGGGCTTTGCAGCGGGCTGGGCCAGCTCGGCCTGGAGTCTCGGAAGGCCAGGCCGGGCTGCAGGAGCTCGAGGGACCCCCTCCCCTGCCCCGCTCTTGGAGTTTAGAGCTGTCAAGCCCCAGCCTGCACCTTCTTCCTCAGTCCCCAGGTTCAAGACCCCTGTGCGACCCACGCTGCGCTCGGGGGCCGGGCCGGGCCTATCTGGCCCATGAGGACCTGCACCAGCAGGTCGGTGGCTAGCATGTGCGACGGCTCCTCGAAGCCGATGGTCAGCAGCTGTTGGTAGTCTCCAGGTGGCTGCGGGCACAAAATCCTATAGGGGCCGGGGACAAGGCAGGCCTGGATGTGAGCGCCCCCTGCCCCTCGGGAGCCCCTTCAGCTGGGGGTGGGGGGATGGTGGGAGTGGTAAAACCCCTTAAGGAAAGTGGTTTCCTGGTGGTTGATGAGAAACTAGGGAATAATGACTCTCCTGAGGTGACCACTCTGCCAGCTGTGTGTCCTGGGACAGGTAACTTAACCTCTCTGAACACCTGTCTTTGTCAAATGGACCTCTATGGGTTGTTACACAGTCTGCAATAAGTATCTTTTGGGGCACAATAAAATGCTATTTTTACTGTACCAAGGGGAGCAAAGTGTTGCCGAGGAGGTGCATGGTTTTGGTAGGGTTCTGCGCCTCTTTCCAGAGCCCACACATACCACGCCATTGCCCTAGGTGGGTCCTACCATGAATAGAGGTCGTCGTCAGCTGGTCCTAGGGGCACCCAGCGGCCGATGGACCACAGTTTTTGGATCTGGGGACACGAATTGGCTGGACTTTGGCCTGAGTCCTCCCAAGTATCTCGATAGCACAAGAAGTAGCTGGGAGAGGAGAGAGCAGCGATTAAGAATGATTTGTTTCCTAGCTTTTCTAAGGGTGTTAGTTTTGGAGGAAAGGTTGACGTTCAGAAGTTGCCCTGAAGTTCTCGGGTGGAGATGTGACTTAATACTGAAGACTTCTTCTTGGCAGCCTACTTTTAAGATGAGGCCTTTTATTTTGGTGGGAGAGTGGGGGGATAAGAAAAAAAGAAAGTTGAGGGTGTAGCTCAATGGTAGAGTGCTTGTGTAGCATTTGAGAGGCCCTGGGTTCCATCCCCAGCACTGCAAGAGGTACTCAGTTTCCCAGTTTGCAAAAAGTAAACCAGGTGGTGGTTTAAAGGCCTCTATCAGCATTCAGCATAGTAAGGGGAGGACTTTAATTTTGGTAAGGGGACTCACTAGTCCACATGGGGATCTTGCTCCCGGCTGTTGGGTTCCGGGGTGGTTTCTAGGTTCCAGCGCATCTTCTTGTAGAGGTACCGGGGGAAGCGGCTGGCAGTGTAGGCGGCAGGACTGCAGTATCTGAAGATGGACACCTCGTGGGAAGGACCAATGGAGAACCGCCCGCAGAAGAAGCAGGAGATACTGGTAGCAGAGGGCAGAGTGGAAGATGAGGCTGGGCCCTGGACTCCGTCCCCACCCCCCATCCTGGACTCCTGTCTTCCACCCCTAACCTCAGGGGGTCAGTGTCCTCCAGGTCCACAAAGCCAAAGGAGGCGTACATGAAGATCAACTGTTCCAGGCGGAGAGTGAGCTGCTGCGAGATCTCTAGCAGCTGTGCAACAAAGGCGGGCAGTGTGACATGGGTGGCCCAGCCAGATGCAGCCCCCACCAAGAAAGGGGCGTGGGACCTGGGACAGCCGCTCCACGCACCCCTTTTCGGACCAGCTCCTGCAGGGCCCCGTAGATGGCAGGTACGCTCCTGGCTGCGGCCTCCAGGTACAGAAAGTAGGGCTCACACATCTTTAGGAAGGTGGGCATGACCTTGGCCAGCTGTTCCTTCTGCACTCCATCCCGGCTGCAGAGAGAAAGGAAGGGGCCTTGACCCGGGAGGCCTCAGCCCTCACCCTGTGTCCGCTGTCACCTCTGCCTCTGTCCCTAGCTCACCACCGCACCCTGCTCTTTCTGCAGGGCTCACCTGCCTCGAAACCATTAGCAACACTTGTTCAAATGCTGACACGTGGCCTGGGGGCATGACCCCTAGCTGGAGGAAGGCCCCAGTGCTGCAAAAACAAAAACCAGCAAAAAGCCTGGTGCTGGTGGCTCACACCTGTAATCCTAGCTATCCAGGAGACAGAGATCAGGAGGATCAAGGTTCGAAGCCAGCCCCAGGCAAGTAGTTCTTGAGACCCTATCTCGAAAAAAACCTTCACACACAAAAAAAGGGTTGATGGAGTGACTCAAGGTGTAGGCCCTGAGTTCAAATCCCAATTCCCCCCCTCCCAAGAAAAAAGATTAAAAAAAAAAAAAAGCCTGATATACAACTAACTTTTGTTCAAAAGTCCCTGCCAGGTGAGGCCTCTAGGAGATTCCAATGGACACAGGAAATTGAAAATCCTAGTTTTTCTCCCTGCATAGGGAATGGGGGATGGGGAGTGTCTCAAACTGGTAGCTCTCAGGCCCTTCCTGGCTCAGGTGGGTGTTGTTTAACTGGCCCAGAATTCAAATTTAAGCCAGCCGCCAGGCTCCGGTGGTCACACCTGTAATCCTGGCTACTTAGGAGACTGAAATTGGGAGGATCCTAGTTCAAGGCCAGCCCAGGCAAATAGTGCTTGAGATTTCCCCCATCTCCAAAATAAGCGCAGCAAAATGGACTGGAGGTGTGGACTCGAGCAGTAGGGCCCTGAGTTCAAACCCCAGTCCCACCACCACCACCAAAAAAAAAATCAAAGTCAGCATTTGAACACGGGGAAAGGCCTGGAGGTTGCAGTACTAGGGACAATACCAGCAGTGTCCCCCGCCACTGCGAGGAACTGGCTTCCTTGATTAGCTAGTTGGAGACTGAATGCTTCACACGGCTCGCTCTGAGCAGGGTCACCAGCTGGGACGGCGACAAGGTAGGTCACCTGTAGAGCAAGTAGCTTTGGAAGTCGTCGGCCTTCTTGAGCAGGTAGCGGAGCTGGTCGGTGACCGGGCTGAACATAGCGTCCAGGGCCAGGCGGGCGGGGGCTGCGGGTCCGGGCTCGGGGACCATGGGGTCCGGGGGGGACGGCGTGGATCCTGGAGCCTCCTGCAGCAGCGACAGCTGGGCCGCCTCGGGCTGCAGCTCACGGGGGTCCTCAGGCCTTTCGGGGGGCTCCAGGCGGTCCAGGGGCGCCGTCTCTCCAGGGCTCAGGGGGAGCGGCTCCGCGAACCACGGCTCGGCCGCCATCGAGGGGGTGGGCGGCAGCGGCTGGGGGCGTTCGCCTCGTTTGAATTTGCACACGCGGGAGGGGCGGGGCGCTCGGGCTGCGCTGCACCGCGGGGACCCGCGCGCTCCCCGCACCTGGCGCGCGCGCACCGGGCGGCGCCTCCTCCCCCCGCCCCCGGCCCCCCGCCCGCGCGCCCAGGCCCCGCCCCCGCTGCGACTCCCGGACCCCAGGCTCTTTTTTTTTTTTTTTTTTTGTCAGCGCTGGGGTTTGAACTCGGGGCAAGGCGCTCTACCACTGGAGCCCCGCCCCCAGCCCTCCCTGGCTCTTCTCCTTTCCTAATGGAGCTGAAGTGCACGTGAACTTCCAAGGCGCTGCTGACGTGGTTCTTAGTCCCAACAACTATGAAAATCCCTGCTGCAAAGATTCTGCCTTTGCATGAGCTCATCCTCATTTTTTTTTTTTTTGTTTTTGGTGGGACTGGGATTTGAACTCATGTGCAAAACAGGCGCTCTACCGCTTGCGCCACCCCTCCAGTCCATTTTGCTCTGGCTATTTTGGAGATTGGGGAGAGGGGAGGAGCTCTGTAATTAATTGCCCAGGCTGTCCTTTGAACCGTGATCCTCTTGATTTCAACCCCCCCCCCCCGCAAAGTAGTTAGGATTACAGGAGTGACACGCCGGCGTCCACCTCCCTGTTTCTTATGGAGAAGACAATCTCAGACCCTATCCCAGACCCTTTTCCTCATCACTTGTAGATTGACTCATCAAGTGACAGGAAGCCCAACTATGAGGCACAGCCATTAATTAAATTTAGAGGCTCTCAGCATCAAAGTCAACAGGTGTCAGGCACGGCCCTGTGTGACTGTGAGCGTCACAGCTATGCTGAACAGGTTGAGGTTTCAACTCGGGGCCTCTCACTTGCTAGGCAGGTGCTCTAATTGAGCCACGCCACCAGCCTATAAAATGTTTTTTTATGAGCTCTTTGCTCCATAGGGACACAGAAGGGACAAGCAGGAAAATGCTTATAAATAGTGAACTGTTAGTCACTCAACAAATAATTTGAGGACCTACTATATGCTTGGGGGTGACTCCAGGAGACCCGTATTTCCAACCTCCTGGAACAATTACCTATCTTTCCCATTTCCTTGTATACGGCCAGTGAGGAAACTTAGGGAGAACCCCTAATGCCAGGCAACTGGTCTACCACTGAGTCCCGGCGTCATGGTCTCCCTCCCCAAAGTATTCCGCCCTTCGAGGAACTCAGCACGCCCCTGCCCCCTCCATTCATAAAACGAGCCCTGGCATACTGTTTTGTTCCTTTTCCTTTTCTTAAAATTTTATTTAAAAAACCATCGGTGCAATATTAAAAAGCAATACAGCCAGTTGGGAGAGACGATCGACAGAAAGGTGAGGGGAAGAGAGAGGCGACCATGGGTCCCCCACCCCAGCTGTTCCCAAAAGGGCTGGAGGGCTGGGGAGGGAGCAAGAGTGGGGGAAAGGAGTACTGCCCGCCCACCAAATGGGCAGGCAGAAGAAGACATTTATATAGGATACACCTGGCTGAACTGAAGAGGACCTTGGGGGAGGGGAACACCCCCCCTTTTTTTTTTTTTCTTTCAAAAATGTCCTGGTCTCCTGGGCTGAATGAGTTGGCGGAGTTATCACCGTGCACCCCACTGCTGTGGGGTAGGGGGCAGGTGTGACTGTGACACAAAAGGAGAGAGGTGACAGGAACCCGTTCAGGGCTGAGGGTGGCCCGGTCCAGTTCCTGGACTCTAGGGGTCGGGGGTCTTGGGGAAGACGGGGCTGGACGTGGGTTGGGACAGGGAAAGGCAAGGCTGGCCGCTCAGCCTAAAAAGCCATCAGGATCGTCATCCTCAAAGTGGCCTTGCTGCAGAACTTTGATGTGGTGCTCATAGATTTTCAGGGCTGGGCCCAGACGGATGGACAGGCCGGTCAGCACGTCTGTCCGCTGCATAAGCAGCAGAGACTTGCCATCGATTTCCTGGGTGGGGACAGAGAGCACAGGGTCAGCGCTCACCCCACAGAGGCCGTGCGCGTGCGTGTGAGGGGACGGGACGGGACTCACCTGTTCTTGGAAAGCGGTGGCCTGCTCGGGGAAGCCGGCCTCAGTGAAGTACTCGACCACGTCCATGACTGTCCACTCCACCGGGTCAGCAGGCTTCTCCTTACGCCCCGGGCTGCACCAAAACGAGGGAGCCAGTGACACGGGAGACCCTGTGGTTGTCAAACGCACCCCTCACCCCAAATGCCCCAACTTACGGACAGCCAAAGGGGGTCCCATCAGCCCCAGGGAGGGCTGGTTTTCCTGGGGGCAAAGGCACAGGAGATGGAGAATCGGGACCAGTGGTAACAGAGGCTGAGAAAGAAAACAACCGCGACCGTTTGGACTGTGACACTGGCTTGAGACTGGGGCTCAGGGCTCCCGAGTTGGTGGCACCCCACCGTCACCCAAAACAATCTTTACCTGATCCTCCTTCCTTACTCATGGTGGCCATGGAAAACACCTGGCGAGTGCCGCTGCCAGGTGCCTGTCCCCGCCCTTCATCCTGGCCCTGGTGGGGTCCACAGGGAGACCACTCCTTGACCCTCTCCTTAGCACTCTGGGGACCCCGTTCGCCATTGAGCTGGTGGTGCTGGGCACCTGCAGGACGGTCACTGTCAGGCACTTCGGAGCCCTCTGAAACATCGTCCTCATCTTCCTCCTCCTCCTCCTCCTCCTCTTCTTTGTCAAGCACCCGCTCTTCCCCTCTCTGTAGGCGACAGGAGTGAGCAAGGTTAACATCGGTTCTCATCCCGGATCCAAACCCTGAGACCCCAGACGGAATCGTGCACCCAAAGCCACCTTCAGAAACAACGCCGACTAACTTTTACGCATCCTTTCAGTGCCAGGCCGTGTGTTAAGAACGCCCTCAGCAAGCCAAATGTCACTAAAGTCGCTCAACAACCCCAAGGGGTCACTACTGTTACCGAACCACCTTTCCAGCCAAGGAAACTGAGGCTCGGGGAGATCAAATCACTTGCCAAGGTCACCAAGCGCGGAGCCCGCAGGGAGCGCGCGCAAAGCCCCGGCCACCCGCCGCCCAGTTCCTCGTGGGACTCGCCGCGCCCCTGCCACCAACTTCGCCCGCACCTGCCCAACGCGCGGCGCCCCCGCTCCCCGGCGCGCTCACCTTGCTCCGCGACGCGCGGGCGCTGGCGGCCGGTGGCGCCCGTCCGGGCCTGTCCCCGCGGGGCAGCGCAAGCGCTCCGAGGCGGGTGCGCTCCAGGCGGCCCCGCGCCGCCGCCTCCTCTTCCAGCAGCCCCTGCACGCGACCACGGGTCAGGCGACCGCCGGCCCCGCCGCTGCCCCCGAGGTAGCGCACGACTTCCCGCAGGCTCACGGGCCGCGCCGGGCCGCCGGCCCGCGCCGCGCCCCCTCCGGCGGCGGCTGTGGCTGCGGCGGCGGCGGCGGCTGCTGCTGCTGCTGTGGCGGCGCCGGCGGCTGTGGCGGCGGGGCAGCGGCGGCTCCCGGGCGGCGACGGCAGGCGGGGGGGCGCGGCGCGGGCCGGCCGGGGGCGCCACCGCCGGCGGAGCGGCGGGCGCGGGTGGCGGCGCGGCCAGGGGCGCGGCCCGCTGCGCGCGGGGGCCCGGCTGCGCGGGGCCGGGCGAGGGGGCGCTGTGGCGGCGGCGGCCGCGCGGGGCGCCCGGGCCGGGGCGGCGGCGGCGGCGGCGGCGGCGACGGGCGCGGGCGGTGGCGGCGGGGCGGGCGTGGGCGGCGGCGCGGCGGCGGCAGCGGGGCCCCCGCGGGGGCGCGCGGCGGGGCCGGCGGGGTGGCTCCGCGCCGGGGCGGCTGGACGCGCGCCGCGTTGCGGTACGAGATGCTCCCCTTGTAGCTGACCCGGAGCACGGCGCGCTGCTGGATCAGTTTCTCGAGCTCGGCGCGCGTGCGCTCCGGCTCCGGGCCGTGCCGCCGCCGCACCATCCGGCAGATGCGCTCCAGGTCCGGCCGCGCCTTGCGCGAGCGCAGCGAGTCGATGGTGTCCAGAATCCACTCTTGGTAGTGAGGGGAAGCGGCGGACGACGAGGCGGCGGCCGCCGTGGTGGCGGCCGCCGCCGTCTCCGGCGGGGGTAGGGCCGGGGGCCCCGCCATGCCTCCCGCCCGGCCCGGCTGCACCGTGCGCGCTGCCTCCCTCCCAGCGCGGCGCCCCCCTCCCCGGCTCTCCTCCCTCCGCCGCTGCCCGCCTCCTCCGCCTCCCCCCCCCGGGGGGCGCAGCGCCTCGGCGGAGCGGCGGCGGCGCTGCTGTTTCTTCGCAAAAAAAAAAAAAAAAAAAAAAAAAAATTGAGAACGAGAGAGAGAGGGAGCGCGAGAGAAAAAACAGTGAGAGAGAAAGAAAAGAGAGAAAAATCTGCACACACTCACTCACTCGCACGCACGCACACACAGAGCCGCTTGTGCTGGGCGCGCGCGGGGCCGGGGATGCGAGGGGGAGGAGGGGAGCGCGGCGCGGCCGGCCCCTCCCCCCGCCGCGCCGCCGCCGCCGCCGCCGCCGCACGCGCGCCCTGCGCCCGGGACACTCCGGCCCCCCTTCCTTCCCTCCCTCCCTCCTCCCGCCGCCCGCCTTCCTCCCTCCCACCCCCACGCGCCCGCTTTTAAGGTGGAGCCCGGGCCCCCCGCCCGCCCGCCCCCTGTACCCTGCGCTCTCGCTCACTCCGGCTCGCTCCGGCCCCCCCTTACAACTCCCGCGCGCTTTTTAAGGAGGCGCCGCGGAGTTGGCGCCGGGGCGGGGGCGGGGGAAAGCGGCGGGCGGGGGAGGGGGAGGGGAGCGCCGGGTGGGGGGGGAGGGGAGAGGGGGCGGGCAGGGCGGGCGGGCGGTGCTCGGCCGCCCTCCAGCCATTGGGCGCGGGACCCAGACGTCCCCGGCGCCCAGCCCCCCTCTCCACGCCTCCCCGGCGCGCTCCGCTCTCGGGACCGCACTTACCGGGAACTCGCCGTCCGCCCTGCCCGCTTGTCCGCGGCCCGGGCCGCCGCGCTCCTTGAGCGCTGCGGGAACCCTCGGATCGCCGCCGCCACCCCTCCGCCCCTCCCGCGCGCCTGGCCGGGCGCTTGGGGATGCGGGTTGGGGGGGCACGCAGGGCTCCCCCTTTACCCCTCCTGCCAGGACCGCCCCCGCTGCCGCTTGGCCTCCCGGCGCGCTGGCCCCGGCGTCTCCTTAAGAGCGCCCTCTCGGTCCCGGGCTGGACGGAGAGGTGGCGCGCCGATCGGGGAGACCCCGAAGTCGGGGTCAAAGGGGAGTTTGGCGCCCCCTCCTCCGACGGGGCGGAGGGAGCGGTGGAATTCCAGCTCGACCCGGTTTTACGAGGACTCCAGGCCAGGGTCTGACTAGCTTGGACGCCGAGGTCCGAAATTCCCTTTCCAGCCCTCTGGGGGTGTGTGGGTGGGTGACCGAAGTCGGGAACACCAGAGACACTTTTTTTTTTTAAACAAAACTTTATTGGTAATAGTTTTCAAATATGTTTACAACAGCACACTGTTCAAGAGGAAGTCTCGTCCTTCGCAGCACACAGGTTGAATGGCCCCCCCACCCCCTGCGCCCACCCGGAGCCCCACCCCAGGCCTGAGAGCTCCTCGGGGGTGGAGGGGGGGAGAAGTTAGGATGTCAAGGATAAATACAGAGACGGATGGGGTGGCTCCCCAGCGGGCTCCCCACCTGGCTATTAAGAGAAAAAAGCACAAATCAGATGGAAGTGGGGGTGGGAAGAGGTGATGGACAGCTGACAGCAAAGCGAGAAGAGGAGCGCCCTGCTTGGGGAGGGGGGGCGCAGAAGCTGCTGGATGGATAACACAGGCAGCCCCTCCCCAGCAACCCTGGCCTTGAACTCTGGGCCAAGGGTTCAAGTGAGGGTGGGAGGACCTTGCTTCTGTCCTTTCCCAGGTGGCCTTCCCAGCTAAGCAGAGGAGGGCATTAAAATCTGAATAAAATTAAGGAGTTTGGGGGGATCGCTGCTGCTGGGAGGAGAGACCCTAGGCTGGGGGCTCCCCCCTCTTATCTTTTGGGGACAATGAACACCTCTTTGGCTGGGTGTGTGGCAGCTGCTTTGTCTTGCTCCTAGGGCCCAAGGGTGAAGAGAGGGGGAAGAGGGAGGGGGCTGGAGACCCCCATGGGATTGGTAGAGGACCCCCTGGGAATGGGCAGAGGTTAGCAGCTGGGGGGAGGTTTCACACCCCAGTTCCTTCGTTTACAAAGTCAGCTTACTTCCCAGCCTCTTTAAAATGGGTTTGGAGAGTGAGGAAAGGGCCTGAGAGGGGTGGGGGCAGAGTTTGGAGGGAGGTTGGTTCTGGTGGAACTTAAATAAGATTAAAAAAAAAGATTGTAGCCAGCAGCCCACTGAAATGTAAATGGCTAAAATCTCCCCAGGCAGAACCGCTGGGAAGGAAAGGCTGGCCCTTGCATTTCATCCTGAAGCCCGGGGTGGGGACTGGCGTTGAGCTCAGGCCCCCTTTCCTCACCTTGTCCCTGGATACATCTGGATACATTAGTAAGACTAGGTCTGACCGGAGCCCAGACGCTCTTTAAAAAAGGCAGCAGTGGGCTGAGGTGGGGGGCACAGAAGGGGAGAGGGCAGGAAGGCCAAGGGAACGAGGGAGAGTAGCTGGTGTTTCCATCCCTCTGAATATCTGGGCTTCCTGCTCCCCCTAACCCTGGAGGGTGGGGTAGGGGTGAAATTAGATGCAAGGAACTCTGGGCCCTCTGGCTGTTCAATCCAACCCTCCCACCCCCCACCAAAAAAAAAAAGGGAAAAAAAAAAAAAAAGAAAAACCCCAGGGGGGCACAGACACACCCCTAAAACTCAGAAAACTCTTTGCCACATTTCTCATTGATGGAGACCCGGATCTCTTCCTCCTCGTAGTCGTCAAAGTTACTTGTGTCCCCAGGGCCTTTAAACTTTGGTATGAAGGGAGCCTCCACCTGGAGAGGGGTCAAGAACCACCCAGAGCTCAGCCACTAACACCAGTCACAATTACAACAATAAATGTGAACGGCCCAACATTTGAGCGATACTTGCTCTGGACTAGGCCTGTGCTTAGCATTAGGATATTCTTGGTAGTGCGAGACTGGTATTCCCACCAGCTGGCCAAAGGGGAAATTACTTCCCGGAGAGGCATCTCCTGCCCAAGGTCACAGAGTGGCCAAATGACCCCAGGCGCCCAGATCGCACTGGCTCAAAGCTGCCTACTTTAGGCTGCTTCTGGGCCTGTTAGGTTATTTTCAAGGACCTCCCTTCCCTGTCTCTCCAGGCTCCCCCACCCCATCATGCCTGGGGAGGGAAGGCCTACCTTCCTCTGGTAGATGGCGATCCAGTCAGTCGTGGCAAACCACTTGTGGTTTTTGATGTCATTGACCCCATTCTTGAGGTTCCCGAAGCGTTTGGTGAGATCCACCTGCAGAAGGTTCCTCAGCAGATCCTTCAGGTCTGAGCTGAAGTGGGATGGGAACCGCACCTGGAGAAGGGCACACAAGGGCACACAGACAGAGTGGGGTGCTGTTGCAGAGCCTGGGGCCCAGGTGCTGCTGTCTTCATCCTATGGTCCTGTATCAGGTAGAGCCCCCCAAACTGGAGTGAGTGCCTACTGGAATCCTGTTCACACAGCTTACTGGGCCCACTGGGGCAGGCACACTGGTGCAGCCGGAGAGGAGGTGCCTTCCACAACATCTGCTCTTAGACAGGAACTGCAATGATTCACATTTCAGAGAAGAGGAAACTGAGGCTAGGAAGGATTGCAGAGCTACCCCACAGTCACAGGGAGCAGAGGGACAGGGTGAGTCTGTCTCAGGTCTGTCACACTCCCATTTCTGGCTGCTACTGCTTAAGGCAGCTCTGCTGGGGTCCAAGGACTTCTGAAATACAAAACAATCCCCTATCCCTTCTCTCTGCAGGACTTTTCTATTTTTTAAGGCCCAGCTCAAGTCTTCTGGAAATATCGCCCCCCTCAAAGGCTCTAAGCCCAAAGTTTTGTATGCAAGTACTCAATGAATTTATGGCCATAAGACCTGACTGCTAGTCCTTGCTGTGCCTCACATGCTGTGTGACCTTGGCCATGGCCCTTAACCTCTCTGGGCCTGCGCCTGCCTCTGACACAGGGCAGATAGCCCAGGGCTGTGCATAGGAGATAACACTGCAGGGCGTGCGTGGGAACGTACACAAAGGGGCATTCTGCTTACGTTTCCCTTCTTCCTGCCCGAGTCTGTGAACTTGGCTTTTTTCCCTCTGGGCCACTGTCAGCCATCTCTATCGTGCCTGGTGGCGATCGCTTCCTCTCTCCCTCTTAGAGTGACACTGACTACACACCAGCTTGAGGTGCCCCACACTGCCCTCCCTGAGAGGCAGATGGCTGTCCCCCCAGTTCCCAGATGGGTAAACTGAGGCTCAGAGAGCCAGAGTGACTTAACTCCAAGTTTCAGAGCAAATAGGTGGTAGGGCTGGGACTGGGAGCCAGCTTAGCCCACCCATGGCTGCTGGAACCATTTTGTTGGGACACTGAGCCAGTTGGTGGCTCTTAGAGATGATCGAGTCCTCCTGGCCAGGTGGGCAAGCTGAGGGCAGAGGTGGAGGCCTCAGACTCAGCACCCATGTAATAACTCTATGACACCCTGCGGTGTGACCTCGGAACAGACACGACCCCTTTCCCAGCCTCAGTTTCCTCACCTGTCCCATGGGACCTGGGGCATGGCAGATGGTGAAGACTTCACAGTCCCCCCACACCTTACCTGGGCCCGTGGACCTTGCAACACTTCTGTCCTGCCGCAAAGTGGCTTGGGTACAATGCCCGGCAGTCACACAAGTCTGCTCTTGTGGCTGGACGTTGTGAAGCCCACACAGACGCAAAGGATGAAAGGTGACAAGGGGACTGACCGTGTCGTGGCAGTGGGCATTCTGGGGATGGGGTGTAGAAGGGGCTTAGGGTTCTGGAAGCCCTCGTGAGCTTGCTGCCCTCCTGACAGCATGGCAGCACCAGGTGTCGGCTGTAGGGTGGCCATGTGGCCTGACTGAATGAACCTGTGCAGGGCTCCAGAGGTGGGACGTGGCAGGTGGGGAAGGGTCTTCGCTCCCAGGGCTGAGCGGCCTGGCCTCACCTTCCCAGAGACGATCTTCTCGTATATCTGGATGGGCTGGTCGGCGAAGAAGGGAGGGTAGCCAGCAGCCATCTCATAGATCAGGACCCCAAGGGCCCACCAGTCCACCGCCTTGTTGTAACCCTGAGGCGAGATGGGGGTGCAGGGTGATGAGGGGCCCGGGCAGAGCAGCCTGGGGGGGGGCGGGGACAGGTAGGAGAGATGCCTACTTTGCTCAGGATAATCTCAGGGGCCAGGTACTCAGGGGTCCCGCACAAAGTCCAGGTGCGGCCTTTCACACGCTTGGCGAAACCGAAGTCTGTCACCTGTGGGCACAAGAACGGGCAGTTGGCTGGGAGGGAGGGCCCAGACCACGGCTGCCTGGGGCTATCCCCGCCAGGGCCGGGTGGGCACCTGAATGTAGCCCTGCTGGTCGATGAGGAGGTTTTCCGGCTTTAGATCCCGGTAGATGAGGTCCAGCGAGTGCAAGTACTCAAACGTCAGGACGATCTGGGCTGCGTAGAAACGGGCGTGGGGCTCGCTGTTGGGGACAAGGGGGAGGGGACAGGTGGGTGAGCTGGGCGGCCACAAGTGGGCTGGTAAGGGGGCCTGCACAGCTATGCCCAGGGGAAGACATCCCCAGTCTAGCTGGATGCAGATAAGATAAAAGGCTGGGTAAAGTAGTGCATGCCTGTAGTCCCAGGTATCTGGGAATCTCAAGTGGAGATTGTTTGACTCCAGGAGTACAAGGCCAGGCTGGGAAACATAGTGAGACCTCAAGACCTCATCTTAAAAACAAAAATAGGGAGCTGGTGGTGCACATCTATAATCCTAGCTATTTGGGAGGCTCAGGCAGGAGTATCACAAGTTCAAAGGCACCCTGGGCTAAATAGCTTGAGGCCAACCTCAGCAACTTATCAAAACCCGGTCTCAAAATAAAAAGGTAAAAAAGGGGTCAGTGGTAGAGTGCTTGCTTAGTATGCACAAGGTCCTAGGTTCAATTTTCAATGCCACAAACAAACTACCCCCGTTGTAACTCCCAAAGGGCTGGGGGTAGCTTGGTTCCTGGCCTACAGAAAACCCTGACTTCAGCTAGGCACTGGTGGCTCACGCCTAGAATCCTAGCTACTCAGGAGGCAGAGATTAGGAGGATCATAGTTTGAGGCCAGCCTGGGCAAACAGTTTACGAGACCTCATCTCAAAAATATTCAACATAAAATGGGTAGCAGAGTGGCTCCAGTGGTATAGCACCTGCCTAGCAAGGGTGAAGCCCTGAGTTCAAATCCGAGTATTGCCAAAAAACAAACAAGTAAAAAACGTTGAGTTTTATTTCCAGCACCTCCACCAAAAAACAAAACAAAACAAAAACAACTGTGTGGCACCTATCATCCCAGCTATGGGGGAAGCAGAAATAGGATTGAGGTCCAGACCACCCCTCAGAAAGGCAACACCCTTTAGAGGCATGGCTCAAGCAGTAGACTGCCTGCCTAGCAAGTGCAAGGGCCTGAGTTCAAATACCATTGCTGCAAAAAAAAAAAAAAGGAATCCCAGTGGGATACATTGGAGCAATGGCATAGGTCCCAACGCCAGCACCAGCAGCAGTGCACACTGTGGCTGGATTCCTAATGGGTGAGGTTTAGTATCGATGCTGAAGTGAGCTCCCAAACCAGTGATGTGAAGCAAAAGGAGACAAAAGTCTCGCCTGTGTGACTCCATTCCCACCGCGTCACGACCCACATGCTACAGGGCCAACTGCCCTGGTGGGGGAGGTGGTTTGGGGTGATGGAAATGTCCCATACAGGGTTTTGGAAGGAGGTCACCAGGGTGTGTATAGCTGTCAAAACTTATGCTATGGAAAACTGAAGACCTGTGAGGTTTCTCTTGGTGGTGCTGGGGTTTGAACTCAGGGCCTAGCGCTTGCTACGCAGGTACTCAACCACTTGAGCCACTCCGCCAGTCCTTTTGCTGTTAGTTTTCCATAAAAGGTCTCATGCTTTTGCCTGAGCTGGCCCTGGACTGCTATTTTCCTACCTCCTCCACCCTCCTACAGGTGGGATTACAAGGTGAGCACCTCCATGCCTGGCCTTAAATCTTAAAATGGCCAAGCAATCTTTTTTCCAGGCGCAGTGAAGCAGGCCTATAGTCCAAGCTACTTGGGAGGCTGAGGCGGGAGGACTGTGTGTGCCCAGACTGTGTCTTTCAAGGCCAGCCTGGGCAACTTAGCAAGACTTCCTCTCAGAAAAAAAAAGAAAAAAAAGTAGGGCATAATGGCCCAACCATCCCAGTTCCATGGGAGGTGTACATAGGAGGATATCATCCCAGGACAGCCTGCACAAGACCCCATGTCAAAAATGTCCAACACACAGGCCGGGCGCCGGTGGCCCACACCTGTAATCCTAGCTACTTGGGAGGCAGAGATCAGGTTCAAAGGCAACCCTGGGCAAAGAGTCCGTGAGACCCTATCTCTAAAAACCTTTCACAAAAATAGGGCTGGTGGAGTGACTCAAGGTGTAGGCCCTGAGTTCAAAGAGCAAACGAGAACAGATGTTACTGTTTTTGGCAGTGCTAGAACCTGCAGGCCGGCCTCACATGTCAGTTTGAGCTCTAACACTGAGCCACACCCCCACCCTGACAATGTCAGTTTTGACACCAGCGTCACCACAACTGGTCTCCTTGTGTTGTTCAGGACACTCGGCACAGTGCACATCAAAATGCACAGGGCCCCAGGAGGACCCCATCCGTGGTCAAGCAAACCCGACTCACCGTGCACAGATGGCGTGCAGCACTGCCGCGGTGGGGCCACTCACCTGAACCTTCCGATCCGCCGTAAGTGGGAGAACATCTCCCCGCCAGGCACGTACTCCATGACCATGTATAAGTTTGTGTTGTCCTGTGGGAGGCAGAGGAGGTCAAGGCCCAGCTCGCTGAGCCCTGGGCCCCAGCTGAAGGCCCTGATGGCCTTGTGGGCAGGTGTTGAGACATAAAGTGACAGTCACAATCCAAGCTCTGGCAGTGTGGGAAACATTTCATGCACCAGGAAGTGCGCAGGCTGAGCCACAGTAGCCTGTGAGGAAGAAAGGGGCCTTACTCTGCTCTCACACAGGGCCAAAGTGGGGACCGGCTTAGAGGTGGCTGGAGGGAGGGCATTCTCCAGCGCTGTGTCTGGGAACCTGAGGGAAGGAGGCCTGTGTGGCTGCGGTTTTGGAATCTGTGCAATGGACAACATTAAATTACAGGGCCCAAAAGGAGAATGTGCTCAGCACAGTGGTGTACGCCTGAGGTCCCAGCTGCTAAGGAGGCTGAGGAGGAGGATCGCTTGAATCCAGGAGTTCCATGGCAGCCTTGGCAACATAGTTTCGACCCCATCTCTTTAAAAAAGAAAAAAGAAAGTGGCAGGCATGGTGGCTCATGCCTCATGGAGTGCTGTAATCCCAGCACTCAGGAGGCTAAGGCAGGAGAATCATGACTTGAGGCCAGCCTGGGCAACATGGAGAGACCCTGTCTCAAGAAACAAAAACAGGTGGGTGTCAGTGGCTCCCGCCTATAATTCCACCTGCTCAGGAGGCAGCGATCAGGAGGAGGATCGGGGTTCAAATAGTTTGCGAGACCCTATCTCAAAAATACCTAACACAACAAGGGCTGGTGGAGTGGCTCAAGGTGTAGGCCCCGAGTTCAAACCCCAGCACTGCAAGAAAAAAAAAAAAAAAAAAAGCAAAGGGCTAGAAGTGAGGCTCAAGTGGTAGAGCGCCTGCTTAGCAAGTAAGAGGCCCAGAGTTCAAATCCCAGTACTGTGAAAACAAAAACAAAATTAAAAATAACCATCAAAACAAAAAAGTGAGGCTCCTTGCTAAAAAAAAATTTACCAACTTCAAAACAGCATCACAGACATTAAACCAGGTACATGGTCCCTCTGAGCATAGCTTCTGTCTTTTCAAGAACAGGGTATGGGCTCTTGTGACCTTGGCCCTGAATGGTTCTTCCAGGCTCTCCAGCCACTGACTTCGATGGCACCCACAACAGGTCACCAAGGATGCTTGTCAAGTGCTCAGAACTGTCAGGACAGCCCTACCAGGTGGGGACTATCTTTGTTGCCATTTTACAGATGGGAACAAATGGGCTGAAGGAGCTCATGCCCCTGTGCAGGGTGACACGCCTAGGAAGCAGAGCGGGGACCTCGGCTGCTCTTGGATGGGTGTCAGGGTGGTAGCTCTGACAGATGTCATTGAGGATGAGTGGCTTGCCCCAGGCTACCGAAGTACAACTTGACTGACCAGAACTGCACTAGGGGCCCCGAACCCCACCCTGTTCCTAACATCTCTTCCCCAGACATCTTTCTTTCCTGGAGGCAGCAGCCACTGGCTGTCCTTTACCCCAGCCCTGGTAGCTGTGGCCCACAGTGGGGACCCCGAGCCCTGGCCGCCAGCCCCCACCTTGAAGGAGAACTCAAGTTTGACCAGGAACGGGAAGTTGACAGCTTGCAGGATGCGTTTTTCGTTCAGGGTGTGCTCAATCTGTTTCAGCTTCACCACCTGGAGGCGGGCAGAGAGGAGGGGCATGAGAAAAGTCTCACTTTCCACACCGGGACCAGAACTAGAGCCAACTGGGTAGGAGGTGGTCAAAGGCTGCTGGTGCCTACGTGGCACACAGGCCAGAGCAAAGGATGCATGTGTCACCAAGCCCCATGGCCCAGAGGGGTCAGAGCCTGGATGGGGGAAGCTTGGGGCCTGTGGATGCCCAGATAGAGTGTCTGGCAAAGTCTGGAGGCAACTCAGTCAAAACAAGAAAGACAAGCAGGCAAGTGCAAGCTTTTCCCTCTCTCCTTCCTTCTTTTTCTTCCCCTTGGTGCCAGGGATGGAACCCACCACTGAGCTACACCTCCATCCCTGTTTTCTTTTATCTTTTCTTTGCAGTACTGGGGTTTGAACTCAGGGCCTTCACTTTGAGCCACTCCACCAGCCCTCTTTTGTGATGGGTTTTTTTCAAGATAGGGTTTCGAGGAACTATTTGCCAGGGTTGCCCTCAAACCACGATCCTCCTGATTTCTGCCTCCTGAGTAGCTAGGATTACAGGTGTGAGCCACCACTGCCCAGCCACCTGTTCGCTCTTTTTAATCATGACAGAATCCCTGAGACACATGCTGGGGTAATGCCACACTGGAAGCTCAGGCACAGAGAGGGGCAGTGACTTGCCCAAGGTCACACAGCCAGTTAATGCTAAGCCTGGCCCCTTGGCCAGCTGTGAACTGCTGGGCTGGACCTTCTTCCTCCTGGCTCACATAGCTGTGTGTTTGGTCCAGTCCTACCTGTCAGGTACAGTTGTCACCAGCCACAGAGGGCTGGTCAACTGGGGAACCAAATGGAACATTTTAAGTACCTAAAATGAAAATTTAAATACTGACATCTGCTATAGGTACTGGATAACTTTTTTTTCTGTGTATAGGGGATTTGAACTCAGGGCTTTAAGCTTACTAGGCAAGCACTCTACAACTTGAGCCATATGCCCAATCTTTCTTGCTTTAGTCTGTTTTTTCAGATCAGGTCTCACTTTTGCCCAGGACCAGCCTTGGACGGTGATCCTTCTACCTCTGCCTCCCATGAAGTGCCTGGCTTCTGAGTAACTTTTAAACATGTTTGGAACCATCTGCTTTTGACTTTTCTACTTTTGTCTCATATTTCCAGGAAAACTGTCCATCTAAATGGAGACCTGTTATAAATGGAAAACACACAATGGATTTTAAAGATGCTTTTGTATGGGGAAAAAAGATTATACAATTTCTCAGCAATACTTTTAAGCTGGGCATGGTGCTACATACCTATAATCCCATCTGAAGCAGGAGGAGTGTAAGTTCTAGGCCAGCCAGGGCTACAAAGTGAGACTGTCTCAAAAAAACCAAACCGAGCTAGGTGCCTGTCATCCTAGCTACCCAGGAAGAAGAGGGAAGAACTGCGGTTTGAAACCAGCCCTGGGCAAACAGTTCAAGAGACCCTATCCCAAAAATATGCAACACAAAAAAAGGCTGGTGGAGTGGCTCAAGTGGCAGAGCGCCTGCCTAGCAAGCATGAGGCCCTGAGTTCAAACCCAGTACTGCCAAAAAAAACCCAAACAAACAAAAAAACCAAATGAAACGACTCTCTCACAAAAGAAACCCTTTACATTGGTAGTATATATGGAAGTGATTACTGTAGGTTTACTGTCTTAATTTTAAAAATATGTGGCTAAAATGAATTTCAAGGGCTGGGGGTGTGGCTCAGTGGTAAAGCATTGCCTAGCATGAGTGAGACCCCGTGCTCCATCTCTAGCACCCCCCCCCAAAAAAAAAGTAAAAAAGAACTTCAATTATTTCTTTATACTTTTTTGCTGGGGTGACTAGAAAACTTAAAATCACTTCTGTCAGGCTGGGGAGACTGCTCAGCAGTAGAGCACTTGCCTAGCACACAGGAGGCCCTGGGTTCCATCACCAGCACCCATGCACATATGCACACACAGACACACACACGCACACAAATAAAGTAACTTCTGTGACTCATGTTACATTTCTGATGGACAGCGCTGCTCTATAGCAGTGCTTGGTATCAAATCAGATCTCAATAATCTTTATGAAGTTGGGTGCCAGTGGTTCATACCTGTAATTGTAGCTACTTGGAAGACTGGGATCAGGAGGATCACGGTTCAAGGCCAGCCTGGGAAAGTAGTTCAAGAGACACCCCACCCCCCATCTCTAATATAACCAAAGCAAAATGGACTGGAGGTGTGGCTCAAGTGGTAAAGCACCTGCCATGCAAGCATGAGACCTTAAGTTCAAACCCCAGTCCCACCAAAAAATAAAAACAAAACAAAAAAACTTTACATTTCCTCCAGGAAGACCTCTGGCCTCCTCCACACAGGCTGACCCTGTGTCATTGCTAGTCAGTCTCAAGGCTTAGCCTTGTGAAAGCTGTGCAGGGCCCTTGTAGCCACTGGGTCTGGCCCATCCTAGGAACCTGTGCGTACAGTTAGCCCTCAGCATCCACGGGCTTCCAGAACCCCCCCAGATAGCGAAGTCCCCACCTGCCCAGGTCCCTTCCTAAAATGCCATAATCTTTGCATAGAAATACATACCTTCCTCCTGTAGACTTTATTTTTTGTGGTGCTGGGGATGGAACTCAGGCAAGTGGTCTCCCAGTCTTAAGGGGTTTTTTTTTTTTGGCGGTACTGGTATTTGAACTCAGAGCCTTATGCTTGCTAGGCATGTGCTCTACCCGAGCCCATCTCAGCCTATGGACTTGACTCCATCTCTGGATGACTTAGACTCCCTAACATCATTCATGTGGATTCAGCACAGTGTTTTGCACAGGGCAGATTCAAGTTTTGCTTTTCAGAACTTTCTAGAAGGTTTCTGGGAAATTTTTCAATTTGTGGTTGGTTGGGTCCATGTGTGGAAAAGCCCCGGAGACTGTGGCTGGTGAGGGGTATGGGAATGAATGGGCAGGGAGGGGACTCCAGGCACTGTCACAGCAAGGGCTTACCTTCTGTTTGTCAAGAATCTTCATGGCGTAGTGGTTTCCAGTCTCTTTGTGCTTTACCAGCATCACCCTCCCGAAGGAACCCGTGCCAAGGGTCTTCATTCGGTCAAAGTGATCCAACTGGGCTGTGTTCTACGGGGTGGAGAGGTTGGGGGCCAATCAGGGAGACCTCCTGCGTTCCTGTGGCCTACTGTGCTGGGGTCTGGGGCACACCCTGTGCCACCGGCAGAGGGGCCATGGGGAGCAGGTGGAGGGAGGTGGGTGAAGGCAGGAAATGAGGTAGTGCAAGGACATTCCTACAGGAGGGTGGCAGCAGCCAGATCCGGCCCTGGCCTGGGGCCCAGGAGCTGCTGGCAGGTGTGTGTGTCAGGGGGGTGGGGGCCACCAGATGGAAGGGTGTGGTGGGGCAGGCGTTTCGGGGGGAAAGGAATCAAGTGTAACCATGGACACAGAGAAAACCAATGGGGCTTGCCACAGAGTCCCCAGGTTGATTTATTTATTTATTTAGAGACAGGGTCTCAAATGTGGCCCAGGCTGGCATGGAACTCATGATCCTTCTGCCTCAGCCTCCCCAGTACTGGGATGACAGGCAAGCACCACCATGTCCAGCTGGGTCCTGGGTTCGAGCTGTGTGGCCGGGACACAGTCACAGGGCACAGGCCAACAGCCCACCCTCCCAGGGCCCTGCACCCTGAGGACCTTACCTGGGCAGGACTCTCCCATTTTTTAAGAAAATCTTCTTTGGCTTTGGCTAAGAACTCTTTCACTGAAAGGAAAAGAGAACACAGTTAGACAGAGACCCCCCCCCACATCTTTCCAGGGCATTTCTGGGGAGATGCAGGGTTCCCCCACTTTTGTGGAAGGTGGGGTACAGCTGCCTCCGCCAAGAGCCCGAAATTTCCCAGTGACTGCAGGAGCCTGGGTAGAGCCTAAAGAAAACTTGGGGGGGCTGGTGTCCTAACCTGGGTGGGGACATGGGCACCCTGTTACTACATTGAGATGGGATCTGGCCTCTAATCTATTCAAAGTGGGGTACTCCCGGGGGACAGAGAGGCACCCAGGCCGCCCACCCCACTGGCCGACATTCCTCCAGCCAGCATGGACGCCAACTGAGGTATTTATAGCTTGAGGATCTGGCTGCTTTTCCAGCCCCTTCTCTGGGCAGGCCAGCCCAGGGCGGAGGCCTCTGGGGCTTGGGTAGCAGGCGCCCTTGGGGGGGTTCAGCTGTCACCTTGGCCCCCAGCTGGCCCTGTGCCTGTCTTTTGCAGATCACAGGGCCCTGGCTTTAGGGTAGCTTCAGGGTACGCTGGGTCCCCTGCCTCCCTCCATGGGCCCCGCGGCACACCTGCTGTCATGGAAGCCTTCCCTGGTGGACCTCAGGCTGCCTGCATCCTCACAGTCTCATGTGACTCCCTCGCCAACCTTCCTCTACCTTTTCTCCCCATTTATCAACTTGGGAAACTGAGGCTTGAAGATTATTGTTGTTGGGCATAGCGACTCAGAGGCAGCCCAGCAAAGCAGTTAGGGCCAGGACTCAGGGATGAGTCGATTGCCTGTGTGACTTTGGGCCTCAGTTTTCCTCATTTGTAAGATGGGAATAGTGGCAATGACTTTGTCTGGGGTTAATGCCATAAACGTGTCAGTTCTTAATTTTATTTGTAAGTATTTTTTTTAAATATACATAGAGCTGGGCGCCAGTGGCTCATGCCTATAATCCTAGCTACTCAGAAGACAGATCAGGAGGATAGCTGTTGGAAGCCAGCCAGGCAAATAGTTTCTGAGACCCTATCTCAAAAAAACCCCTTTACAAAAAAGGGCTGGTGGAGTGGCTCAAGGTGTAGGCCCTGAGTTCAAACCCCAGCACCGCAAAATAAAAAAACAAAATATACATAAAAAATATACAGTGCTACAGGAAATTAAAAGTTTTTTTTTTTTTTTTTTTTTTGCAGTACTGGGAATTGAACCCAGGGCCTACAGCTTGCTAGGCAAACACTCTACCACTTGAGCCACACCCAAGTCCTTTCACTTTTATTTTATTTGTGACACAGGGGTTGCTTTTTTAAGAGACAGGGTCTTGAGAGAGAGAGAGAGAGAGAGAGAGAGAGAGAGAGAGAATCTTGCTATGCTGTCCAAGCTGGTCTTGAATTCCTGGGTTCAAGTGCTCGTCCTGCCTCAGCTCCTGATAGCTGATAGCTGGAACTACAGGTGTGCACCACCACCCCTACAAATCTTTTTGCTTTTTTTTGTTTCTCCCTTCCTGGGCTTGGGGCCCAGGGCCTTGCCCACACTTGGGCAAGGGCTCTGCCACTGAGACATGCCCCTATCTTGAGTGCTTATATCTTTTTTTTTTTTGGTAGTACTAGAGTTTGAACTCAGGGCCTCACACCAGCTAGGCAGATGCTCTTACTACTTGAGTCATTCTGCCAGCCCTTTTTTGTGATGGGTTTTTTTGAGATAGGGTCTCATGAGCTATTTGCCTGGGATGGCTTCAAACCGTGATCTTCCTGATCTCTGCCTCCTGAGTAGCTAGGATTACAGATGGGAGCCATCAGCACCCAGCAAGTGCTCAGTCTTAACTGTGCAGCTCAATGGATTCTGATATTCTGACATCATGGATGTGTGGACTTGTTCTTGTAACCACCATACGGGGCTGGGTACTGCTTGGTATATTAGCCTTATGCTATGGTTTTTTTGTTTTGTTTTTTGTTTTGTTTTGAGACAAGGTCTCACTCACTATGTAGCCCAGGTTGGTCTGGAACTCATAATCCCAGCCTCCTGAATGCTGGGATTATAGATGTGTACCACCATGCCTGTCTCTGCTGAGTGTTTTTGTTTTTTGTTTTTTTCTGGTGGGACTGGGTTTTGAACTCAGGGCTTTGTGCTTGCAAAGCAGGCATCCTATCACTTAAGCCACATCTCCAGTCCACTTTATTCTGGTTATTTTGGAGATGAGGTCTCACGAACTATTTGTCCAGGCTAGCCTTGAACTGCGATCCCCCTGATCTTAGCTTCCCAAGTAGCTGGGATTACAGCTGTGCACCACCATGCCTGGTGTGGTTGGTGCTTCATTCCAACCTGCCAGTTGGAGCTTCTGTTCTTCCCATTGTACAGAGAAGAGTAATCAAGTCTGGGGTCACTCACCTGAGTCCCTGCTGGGAGCTTTACCACTTCACTACCAGCCCAGCCACTGGTTTGGCAGCAACAAGGCCCAGGTACACAGCTGCTTCACCTTCCTGACATTCCTGGGACTGGTGCCACCCAGAGGGGCCCTGAACACTTGCACTCTGACCTTTCCTGTCATCTATCAGCCTCGTAGGCAGCTATTATTCCCCCACTGTCCTCAAGGGTCTCCTACAGCTTTCAAGTAGCCCTTCATGGGACTAGAATGACGCATGGAAGAGACCACATGCCAGGAAGGCCTTGTGAAAAGGTGACCGGGCAACAGGGGCAGGAAGCAAATAGCTAGAGTCCTCGGCTGGTGCCCGGCTACACTACCAACTGGCCAGGGGAGTGCTCTGAGTCCGGGGCTGCACAAGGCCACGATTCTCAACAGAGGAACATTTCAGAGACAAAAAAGCCTTCCTTGGAGACCTAGCCTTGGCAAATAGTTCATGTGACCCTATCTCGAAAATATCAACACAAAACAGGGCTGGTGGAGTGGCTCAAGTAGAAAGAGCACCTGCTTAGCAAGCATGAGACCCTGAGTTCAAATCCCAGTACTGCCCAAAAAAAAAAGCCTTTCTTGGAAACATGAAAACGCATGTTGAATCCTGGATTGGAAGAGGGGGACAGAGGGCCCCCTCTGGGACTCCACTGTCCCCCACGTGAGAAGGCACAGGGAAGCTAGGCCAGAATGAACGAGGTTGTGCCCCTCCTGCTCTCAGCTGCTCTGTCTCTGGTCGTCTACTAGTGTCCCAGCACCACCAGGGGACAACACCTTCTCCCTAGCACTGGTTTCTCAAAGCATGGGAAGGCCCAGTTCTGATGCCACTGTGGCCCCGTTAGCTTGTCAGACTTTGGGACAGAGCATGGGGGGATGGGAGACAGCTGGGAGGAGCGGGCAGATAAAGAGAGATAATGGGGGAGGGGAGCAGAGCCCCCTCACTCACCTCTGCCTCCCACCTCTTCCAGCAGAGGATGGCATGGGATCTGGGTAGCATGGGGTGATCTGGGGACCATCTGCCCACACGCCAGAAAGACTCAGGGTGCTGGCTGTGGCTTAGGTCCCTGGAAGGTGTGGCACAGGTAGGCCAGGAAACGAACAGCCAGGTGAGACCAGAGGAGCAGCTGCAGCCACCACTGGAAGGTGATGTCCGAGTCCTCACCCTGATGGCTGCCTGACCCCAGATCCATGCCAGGCTGCCCTGGGCTGTCTGGAATCTCCCCTTTGATGGGGAAGCAGGAAGATGCAGGCTGACTTGGGAAAGCCTCAGAGACTGGGGACTGGGGACTGGGGAGTGGAGGAGGAGCTGGTTGCCACAGAAGCATTTAAAGGTACCTGCTTGAGGCTGGCCAAGACCTGTAGCAGTTCCCCTTGGAAGGAGGAGACAGAGCCTCTCCAGCGTGTCCCTCTGGCTGGGGCCTGCCTGCCCCAGGGCGGGGCACTAAAGCTTACTTCCCCTTCTAGGGACTCTCACTGCTCCAGGGGTGCCAGGCCCTGCCCTTTTCAGTCAATGCACCACTGCACAGAGTCCAGTGCCCACTGGACAGAGGGGAAGGAGTTAAGGCCTGGGCTCAGGCAACAGTCAGAGAAAGACTCCCTGGGGTTTAAAGAAGCCCCATGGCTCTTTAATTATCTGGAAGAACAGCTGGAGAGAAAGGCTGGGGAGGGGGAATGTGACAAGAGCCACCCTATCGCCTCCTCTGAGCTCCTTTTCAGCATGGAGCCCCCCAGTCCTGCTCCCCTGAGGGACATGGGTGCATCTGGTTCTTTGTCCTGCTCCTGTGTGGGGGCGGAAAGGGGAACGGTGTCCCAGGATGTCCTTGGCCTCTGTCAAACCTTGCTCTGGGCCATGGAAGCCCACACCGGAAACGAATGGCTAAACCCAGGGATGGGGGAGGGGAAGACAGCCTTGATCATCCTCCTCCTCCTTTCCAGTTTCCCAAAGAAGTGGAGGGTCAGTGGCAGCCTCCCAGAGAGTGCCCCGCCCCTGTGGTGGTCCCTACTAGCAACAGGAAGTGGCAGGGGAGGGTAACCCGGCCAGCTGCTGCCCTGCCCACACCTCTCACTAGTGGGGTGCCACCAGCCTCCACTCTGGTCTGATTCGATTTGCTCACAGAGAAAATGCCAGCCACCCCTTGAAAAGCTGGGGGCCACAGCAGAAGAAGAAACCTAGAAATTCACCCTGGATTTGAGTGCAGACTGCAAGTCACAATGTCAAGTTCGTTGAGGAGCTTGGTGGCTTCCTCAGGAGCCCATCCTTAAGATCCCATCCCCTGGAAAATAGTCTTTGACCACCAAACCTCTGAAACCTGTCAGTCCTGGGAGCCTGGGGAGAGGGAGGCCTAGTCTGGGATGGAAGCCCTAATCAGAGCTGGCTGATTCCTCTCAGCTGGCCCGATCCCCTGCTCTAGGCTACACCCACTTCCAGTCTGAGGAGAACTCCTCAACACTAGATTGGGCCAACCCCCATTATGGCTGGACTCCCCCATTCTAGACTGGAGGATCTCTCAGTCCATGTTGGACCCCGTCTGTGAGCTGGCCCATCCCCCAGTCTGAGCTGGACCAATCTTCATTCTGAGCTGAACCCCACTCCGGGTGGGAATTCCCTCCTTCTCTGAACCCGGCCTTTCATCCCCCTTTCTCAGCCAGGCCCCTCAGCCTAGGGGAGTCAGTAGGGGAGGGGTTTCCAGGGCCAGCCAGGGGTCCACAGACTACTCCTTCTGCCCGCTCCCCCAGACCCTCATGCAGCCCCTCCCTGATTTGAGGGGCAGAGTGCCTCCGAAGTTGCTATAGCAACAGACTCAGCCTCACCATCGTTGGAGCTGGAAGCCATCACTCAGTCTTGCTCACAGGGCACCAGGACTACGGTGGCTGGGAAGGCTCATGAATCCTCCAGCACCAGCTTGGCTACCCATCCCCAGAGCCCTACCTGTAGGGGGAACCAGGGAGTTGTGGGGTGGGAGCAGGAAGAGGGTCCCAACCTGCAGGCCAGTGGTTACGGGGGAAGGGCAGCTAGGACCCTTTGAAATTCTGTTGGTCTGACTGCGCCAACGGCAAAGCTGCCCGGGAGGACCCTCTTGAGCACCCGTACAACTGTCAATGCTCAGAAAGAATCTGACCCTCTTGGGCTTCTGTAGGATACTACAGGGCAACAGATCTTCCCATCCGGGGACCTGGGCAGTGGGGGGGGAACTTTCTCTTAGTGTCTGGATCTGCTTGCCCCTGCAGCCTGGAGGGGCTCCCTCTTACCAGCTCTGCTTCTTCCCTTGTGGGCCAATTCCCTGTGGTGTCTTCAGCCATTGCCAGCCAAGACCTGAGCCCCACTTGGCTGGCTGACTTGGTAGCCGCCTGGGGCTGCTGGCCTCTCTCAATTCCTCCAGCCTGGCCAGAGCCTGAAGCTTGGTCTTTTTCCTCTGCTCTCTTAGCTTCTTACCCTGGTCCCTGCCAATGGCATGATCATCTCGAGGAGCACCGGGGGCTGTAGGATGCCTGACAGGTGCCTGCATCCTCTCCAATCCTAGCCCGGCTGGTATCTTGCAGACAAAATGCAGGTGCCCCCTGCAGGCTGCCTTGGCTACTGCCCCCACCCTTGCCCCACCCTGGTTATGAGGTCAAATTCGGTCTCATTCCATCCTCAGAGTCAGAAAGCTTCGAAGCAAAGAGGGGCTTCCTTCTCTGGGAGGAAGTACGGATCTGGGTATTTTCCAAAGTGTGACATGGTATCAGTGGCAGAATATGAAATTAATTTGGGGATGTTTCATTTTATCTCGTTATATTGTAGTTCACTATGTATCAACAATAATATAAATAGCATAGCAATATCATAACTTCATTTAGGTTATGGCTTAAGACTGGATCATAGCTTAGGACCTCTGGAGACAGGCTCTTGCTATACAGCCCAGGCAGGCCTAGAACTCACTATGTAGCCCAGACTGGCTTTGAACTCAATTGTGCCGTCTTAAGCTTCCCTGGAACTGGGATTACAGGTGTGCACCACCATGCCCAGGTTATTATTATTTTTTGATACAGGGTCTCCTTCTGTTACCCATACTCACCTTAAACTCCTGGGCTTAAGCGATCCCCCCACCTTAGCCTTCTGAGTAGCTGGGACTACAGGCGAGATCCACTGCACTCACTCTTTATCCATTAAGAAATCATAAACATATGGAGTAAAAATCTGGGAGGCAGCTTAAGAATGTCTTGAGTTGGGAAATTCTGGGGTCCAGGAAGTTTGCTGGTAGATGGATATGGTCCTGCCTCTATATGGTCACCTATATCAAACTCAGACGGCTGATTTGGAAAGCTCAGATAACAGCCTGTTATGAAAATCATCAGAACAAATATGTCTATGGAGGACATTTAGCCTTGTACTTCCCGGATGCCCAATAAATAGTAGCTGTTATTTCATGGTGAGCAGACACCAAGGAGTGTCAGCTCTGGGTGCCGAACTGGCAGTTCCTTCCGGAGGAGCCTCTGATCTTTTTCTTGGGCTCTTTTTCCCTATGTGGCTCCCCCCACCCCGCCCCCACTGCATGTGTTTGCTATGCTTGAAGGTTTTTCAGGACTATGTCATCTCCCCAACTTTCATCTAAGCCACTGCAATATATAGCTGGTTGCCCCACCTTCCACCTCCCAGTGGGCCTCACCTGCTGGGGGGCCTGGCTCCTCCCCTTCTGCCGAGTCCCCTCCAAGCTTATGCCTAGATCTTTTTTGGACATTACCCACCTGCTCCTCTGTCATCAAGCCCTTAACCGTGGGCACTTGTCTCCCCGACTCTTCCCCCCGCCCCCGCCCCCCCCCCATCGGTGGTGACATATCTGGCCTCTTAAGGCTGCTCTGTTAGTTTTGAGTTCTGCTATTTGAAACCGTGCGGGAATAAAGTTCTCAGACTCTGGTGGATTTTTCAGATCTTTCTGGGAAGGGGCATGCTGGAGATGCTGATGCTGAGGTTAGAGACCAAGAACAGGGAAGGAGCTGGGCACCGGTAGCTCATGCTTATAAATTCTACCTACTCAGGAGACAGATCAGGAGGATCACAGTTTGAAGCCAGCCCTGGGTAAATAGTTCGAGAGGCCCTATCTCAAAAACCCATCACTGGTAGAGTGGCTCAAGCCCTGAGTTCAAACCTCAGTGCTGCCAAAAAAACCACCACCAACAAAAAAACAACCAAATAAACAAGAGTTGTACATGACCTCCCTTTCAGGTCTATTTTTTTGGTATTTTGGGGGAAGGGGAGCCCAGCTGATATCCAGCTTCAGGCCTGAAGGGACAATTTAAGAGCTTGAGAAATTGGGGAGCAAGCTCTGAAGACATTTCCAAACAATCTTTTTCTTTCTTTGGAGGTGAGGGGGGAGAACACGCCTCCCTCTGGCTGAGCCCAGGGGGACATACAGAATCCATCCCTCCCTTGGCAAACCAAATCCTTCCATGTAACTCATTAGTCTCCTTCACTGCTCCCCTCTACCCACAAGTCCTCTTTCTGACCACATGAAGTCTTGCCAACGCCAGACACTTCATCCCCAGCCAGGAGCCAGGAGCAGCTGAAGAAATCCCCAGAACCGGGTGAATGAGGGAGCTTTAGGTGTGAATCAACCATTTATTGACAGGCCCTCCGAGGAGCCTAGAGCTCACTAAAGGGCAGGAGATGGGAGAAGGCTCTGCCGCCGCCGCCGCCGCCCCCGCCCCCACCCCCACCCCAGGATAGAAGACGCAACGATCCCAACAAGGCCACCTCAAACTTGGATTTGGAAACACCGAAGTAGTTCTCTAGGTTCACAAACAGTCTGCTACCCCAGCCCAGTCAGGGACAGACGCTTGCTTGGAGGAGGGAGTTCAAAGCAGCCAGGCAGGGTGACAGGATGAGAGAGGAGCAGAGGGACCCAGAGAGATCGTGTACCCCATGCCAAGAGACACAGAAGGGAAAAACAATGCTGGAGGTGGCAGTGGGAAACGCTCAAGCGGGGCAGGGTGGGCCTGGAGGTAGGGGCCGTGATAGGTGAAGAGGGGAAAGGCAGGAGAAAGATGGCGAGGGCTGGAGGGGGAGGGGTGTGGTCACCCAGTAGTCAAGGTCTCTGCGGGGTGGAGGCAGACCCTAGAGCACTCCCAGACTGGCAGAAGCCTGGGTCAGGGTCAAACAGTGCTCCCATCTGTGGGAGAGATGAGTGAGAAAGTGTGTGGGATGAGGATCTGGGGAGACGGACCAGGAAAGGAGGGGGTGGGGTGGTGACAGGGCCCCATGTGGGGCCCCAGCGGTCATACGTGCCATGGTTGGCAGTGACAGCTGGGTGGGGGGGCACAGTCTTTGCAGTAGGGGCGGCCAGCCATTGGCCTACTCCCTGCGAGAGCAAGGGTCCCTTTGTGGGGCCTCGGGTCCCAGTCTCGGACAGGCAAGAGGAAAGGGCGCTGGGGGGGGGATGAGCAGAAAGAAATGGGGGGGCAACGCGGGGGGAGGGGCCAGGCAGTGATGGACAGGGCGGGGGCTGACAGCGCGGGGCCGAAATCAGGGTCACGGCAGTGCACTCACCGCTCTCCTGCTCGCTGCCCTTCTTGGCGGCGGCGGCGTTACCCATCGCGGTGGCGGCGGCCGGGGCCGGTCCCGAACCTGCGGTGTGGCGGGTACTAGAGGTGGCCGGCGGCCCCGGAGCGCGCTGGGCGGCGGAGGCGGCGGCCCCTCGGGCTGGCTGCGCTGGCTGCGGCGCCGCGACCCCCGCCCAGCCCCTGCTTCCCGCGTCTCTCGGCGCCCGCCCGCCCGGGAACCTCAGCCCAAGTCCGCTGCTGCTGTCCGTGACGCCCCCGCAGCCCGCCGCTCATTGGTTTAGGCCTTCATGATTGACGGCGCCGCGCCACCGCCCATTGGCCCTCCGGAACCCTCCTGCGCTGCTATAGGCTCCTGGCCCCGTGACGCGCGCCGAGTACGTCCAGCCACTCACAGGCTTCCGAGGACTCAGCTGGGCGGGCTAAAGCATCTGATTGGTCGAGATGCCCAGCAGGTCCTAGGGCTCGCCTTGTGAAGCTACGGATTGGTAGAGAAGCACTGTTCGGCCAGCCCCCCGCAGAACGTTCAGTGTCAATCCCGGGGTGAGAGGGCGGGGCGGAGGCATAGTCTGCGGCCCAAGCCGGCCGGGCGGGGCGGCGGAGGCTGGCGGGCGGCCGCACCGCTCTCCGAGGCCCAGGAGGCGGCCCCGGCGGGCGCCTGTCCGGCCCCGTGCGCGCCGCAGTCCCCCGCCCCCGCTCAGTGCGGCAGAGGCCGCCGGCCAGCGGAGGTTGACGCCACGGCCGGTCCGGCGCAGTCGCTGTCCACCTGCCAGCGGGGGAGGGGCGCGGACGGCGCCGCGGGTCAGAGGTCGCCGTGCCGCCGATCGGCGTCATTAGGAAGGCCTGGCGCTGGGCAGCGGTGGCCCACTGCGCCTGGAGCGGGGACCACCTCCACCAGGAGGGGACCTCCTGGTCCCCTCCCCACCCCCCTCCCCGCCACAGCCGGAGGTTCTAAGGATGCTGGGCCCCGGGAGCGAGGGATGGCGGGGAGGGGCGCTCGGCGCTCACCCCCGTCTGAGTCCCAGCCCTGCGCACTGGCTCGTAGTAGAGCGGGCACTTAGGTACAGCAGTTGGCATCACGCGATCGGCGTAGGTACTGTTACCATCCCTCCCCTTTACAGACGAGCCATTGACGCACCGCCGGCGCCCCTGCTCTTAATTAATCCTCATCTGTCTGGGAGCAGACAGGGACGGGTTCCTCTTCCTCCAGGGCACTATTTCCTTCCCCTCTTCCTTTTTTTTTTTTTAAATTTCTGAGAACAGGGTAGAACTAGATAGCCTAGGCTGGCTTGGGTCTAGGCATCCTGGCTCCGCCTCCCTAGTGCTGGGATTACAGTGTGCACCACTGTGCCCACCCTTGTCTTTTTTATACAGTTCTGAGGATTGAGCCCGAGGCCTGCTACCACTGAGCTACATTCAGGGTGCTCAACCGCAGTTCACAAATAGCCCAACGACAACGGCCAGGATTCCCAGTGGTTGCTGACAGTGACCAGATCATTCTTTGCTGGGGAGGGGGCTGCCTTGTGCCCCCAACCTCACTACTGGAGGCCAGTAGCTCTGGCAACCGGATTATGCTAAACGTCCTGAGGTGCAAGATCACCCCCTCCCCCACCAGAGAGCCACCGGATCAGAGGGGCCAGGTGGGCCAGCAGCCCCTGCCAACACTCAAGGCCCATGCATTGCACAACCACTCCTCTACCCAGGAGCTGTCTGTGCCCACGTTCCCAGAAAGTCAGAGCTCTTCTGTGGACGATGGGGCAACAGCTCACTAGCCAAACCGTTCCACCTCTAGTTGTGGGGAGAGTGAGAAGTAAAATTTAAGAAAAATGTGGCTGTGTACACACACACCCGTGTACTTGGATCATGATGTTACTCTCCGGGCCAAGGTCAAAGTCTGAAAAAGAACTGGTTGGGATCTATCTACAGAGCAGCTGGTTTGCTTAAGGTTGTTTTTTGTTTTTCCCTCCAGTACTGGCATTTGAACTCAGGGCCTTGAGCTTGCAAGACAAGCATCTCCTGCTTCAGTCAGGCCTCCAGCCCTTTTTGCCTTTTCAGTTTTCAGATAGGGGCTCCTGTTTTTGCCTGAGTGGACCTCAGACTGTGACCCACTTGCCTATGCCTCTCTTGTAGCTGAGATTACAGATGTACATCACCATCAACATTTAACTTAACCAACTTTTGATCTAGGCTGGTCTTGAACTAACACCCTCTTGATCACCTCCTAGATAGCTGGGATTATAGGCATTAGCCACTATGCCCAGCTAGTTTGCTTAAGTTTTGACAAAGAAACATCCTCCCTGATCTGTTTGGAATACAACCGTTAAAATCAGTGGGGACTGGAGCAGGGAGAGAAAGGGCTAGCCACTCCACTAGACAACAGACTATTCCAAAACTGAGGAGGGCAGCAAATCTGCCTCTACCTACCCTGGACAAAACCTGCCACAGGCAGTGTACAAGAAGTGCTTTTTATTTCAGACCAGCCAGTCACCTTTGAGGTAAACCCTTTTATTCAGAAACCGCACTCTGTACTCACATCAGCACTCACGTGGCAGCGAGGGGCCAAGCACACGGAGGAGGGAGGGTTTTCAGGTCACGGTGGCAAATGCTTCTCTTGCCCAAAATTCTTGTGTGTCTTTGAGTGTGTGTGATCATAGGTCCCTCCGGCCTGCAACCTCCTCCCTAGCACAGTCCCAAGGGAAAGCCAGATCCAGGAAGAAGCCAGGTGGAAGATGGCCCTGAGGGAGGTGCCCTGTGCATCTCAGCATCTTGCTGAGATAGTTTTCTTGGGGCTGCAGGACCTAAAATTTTCCTGGGGTGGGGCACGAACTCTGTGTCTACCTCCAGACCAGGGTTCCTTGTCTGTGACGCTGGAGAGCCATGGTAGATGGGTTCAGAGGCTGTGCCCTGGAGGCAGAGGGTCTAGGGGAAGAGCTGCAGGTGGCACTCATAGTGTGTGCAGAGGAGAAAAATGGTATGAGTCACAAGGAGTGAACCACCAAGTACCTGCTTCTTCAAGGTCTGTGCAGTGGAAGCGAGATGACCCTTCTGGACCGAGGCTGAAAGAGACCAGAGGCCCATTTTTCCTTGGGACCGAAGTCTGAGAGACACAGGTGGTCCTGATGGTCCCAACATCCTTGTGATAACCCCACACAACCCTGGAGGCCTGGTGCCCTCCCAGGTGTGCAAGGAGACAGGCGCAGTCTTGGCTGAGCACTGCTGGGGCCTGGCCTCCCAGTCAGATGCAGTCCATGGAGTTCTCAGGGAGGAGACCGGGAATGCAGCCAGGGAGGCCCAGACCCTTCACAGGAGTGCAGCCTAGGGCAAGACTGCAGCCCAGGGTGGGGTCCTGGTTCTCAGTGGCCTCTGGCCTGTCTGTGTTGTTGTCCCAGTTGATGTGAAAGCGTGTCACCCGGGGATTGGAGGCCAAGATGTTCCGCTGGAGCTGGGGTAAGAAGAGGACTGTCAGTCCCTGTCATTGCTCCCTCTTACTATTACCCCGGAGACAGGACCCAACCCCCCCCAACCTCCACCATGAGCCCAGGAAGAGCCTTTGCTTGTTTCATCAACACCACTGAGCACGTGGGAAGCCCCAGGGGACAGCTGTGCACGTGGTTTAGGAGCAAGACCTTTCTAGACCTGATTCTGTAAGGTACGCCTCTGAGAAGTAACTCTCTGTCCCATGCTAGCCCTGCACTGCAGGAACCCAGCAATTTGGGCCTCCAGAAGTAACCTGGGCCCCCAGTGCAAAGGAACTGGCCAGGAGTGCAGATGGACCTCACCTGTGAGAAGTCTGGCTTTGGGGGCGGGTTCTCCCGCAGCTCAGGGCTGGGGTACTCATTGTTGACGTAGTAGCCCACTCGAATGAACTCCTGGCCATGGTAGGTGCAGGTAATGAGGAGCACAGTCACACCAACAGCGTCAGTCTCAGGGATGAGGGATGGGTTGGGGGCGTCAGCCTGGGAAGACACATCTTGGACCTCAGTGCCATGTCACACCTCAAAGTTATTAACACAAGGATTCGCACTCGGCATGTATTTTCTGGCTCCTCGGGGGTGATGACACAAAGTCTAGAATTCGGCCAGTGTAGTCCAGTGGCAGAGCACATGCCTAGTGTGAGTGAGGCCCGTAGTGCTACAACAGTGAATATATTGTAAAAACTATGAATGTGAAAGGAGAGGCGTGGGGTGCCCAGGAGGAGCGTGGAGGCTAGGGGAATGTGGAATAAGGTGAGGCTGGATGGTGGGCTGTACGGGGCCAGGTGGGCGAGCTAGGGCCTGAAGAAAAGCGCTGTTTCGCAGGAGGCCAGCACACGTCTCTGGAGAGGCAGTGTCCTAAACCTAGCAGCAGAGGATGGAAGTAGACTCAGGTGAGCTGCTCTGGACAGAACTAAGTACCACTGGTGCAAAGTGACACCCATGCAATGGAAACGCAGGCCTAACTCAAAACCACAAACCTTCTCTTTCTTTTGGTGGAGTTGGGGGGTGACTCAGGGGTTTTGTACGTGCCAGGCAGGCACTCTATTACTTGAGCTGTGCCCCCAGCCCTTTCTGCTCTGGCTATTTTGGAGATAGGGTCTCACTTTTTTACCAAGCCAGTCTAGACTCTGATCCTGTTTTAAGCTTCCTGATTTAGTTGTGATGATAGGCACGTGCCACCACACCCAGTTTTCCACTGAGATGGGGGAGGGGGGTGTGGGTCTCACTTTTTGCCCAGGCTGGCCTTTAACCTTGATCTCTGGCCTTAGCCTCTGTAAGTGCTAGGATTACAGCACTTGCAAACACCCATTTGTATTTCCCCTTAAGGGTCAGGGGTGGGTGTTCATTAAGTCATTGCTTGTGAAGAACAAGAATTGACAGTACACTGGAGACTCCTAGTAACACCTGAAGACCATCTGACGAGATCAGGTATAGGCAGGTTGGTATGGCTATAGACTTTGAAGGACAGCTGAGATCAAACAGTGTCCAGGATGGGGTGAACTCTGGGCTTCATGCTTGCTAGACAGGCACTCTACCACTTGAGCCATGCTACCAGTTCTGAACCTCAACTACTGGCTGCTAAACCACACTGTGTGCTTTGGGCTAAGAGGATGTTTTCTGGGGTGGGGGCAGAGCCCAGTGGTAAAGCAATTGCCCAACATGTGTGAACCCCTGGGCTCTAATCCCAACACCAAGGGGAAAAAAAAAAATAAAAGCTGTTTCTAGAAGTCAAGAGCTAAGGTGGCATCTTTCTTACCTGGAAGACAAACATGTGCCTTCCTGCAGGCACAGGGCCCACGAGTACCGAGTCTAGAATCTGATCAAATGCCTCGCTCTCCGCTGAGCCCACGTAAATGATCTTCCACTCCAGGTCTGTAAGAAAAGGGTGGGGTAAAGAACAGAAATAGGTGGGAGGCAAAAGCAGGGAAGGGTCGTTCTCCTGGGAGTTCTAGACAGATCCCCAATATACTGGAAGATTCTGTGATGTGAGTTGGCGTGGCAGGGCACCCAGCGCCAAGCTCCACAGTCCTGAACTGGGGCGGGGACATTCTTTTCCTAAGGGGACATTCCTCCTGTGGGCCTAGCTGGGCCAGGTGACCTTGACTCTGGGACCTGTGGCAGGCTGAGAGCAAAGTGTATAGCAGAGGCTGAATCAAGAGACATGTGGCACAGGGATGGCAGGGAGGCCACCGAGCTGGGCCGCTGCGGGCCCACCCATCACACATTGATAGTAGCAGCATCCTCTTTCACACACAGGGACGGGTGCCACCGAGTGCATCCCTCGACAACTGGGCCAGGGCAGCAGATTCCAACCCGCCGGGTGAGCCAGGCGGCAGGAGGGGGGAGGCGGACTACTGGGTCTTCCACAGCAGGCACCTAGTCATGCGTGCTGGTGGACATCCAGGTGACAGGGGCCCAGGGAGCAAATGCAGTAGGACAGGGTACACACCAAATCCCTAACTCTTTGTGTGGCACCTGGTGAGGTCTCCATCTGTGAGGTCGCTCGGGAAAGATCAGAGAAGTGCAGAGAGCCTGCCTGCCAACCCCGGGAAATTCCGGTGAGCTGTGCGTCTTGCCCGAGGTCCAAGTGTATCAGGGGCAAGGTCATGCTGGTACAGGGAAGCCTGGCAGGGGACCCGAATCTTATTTTAGGTCCTTTGAAATTACACAACCCACAGCTCCGGCAGCCGGGGAAGTTTCACAAGCTGCGATTTTCACAGGAAGTGAGCCCTTGGAAGCCACAAGGTCCCCTGGCCCAGCATCTCACGAGCATCCAACTCTGGAAGCACACCCAGGCCGGGCCACCACCACAGAGGACTGTCACCTGAGCCCTGAGGATAAGCCTTCCTCGATACACTGCTTCCTGTCCCATTTGCAGTTTCGCTCTTTGAGGTGGCCCTCCATCTGTGGAACACAATGACCACTTGGGTCACTAGGGTTCAGTCGAACTCCTGTTTCATTATTTGCAGGGAAGTCAAGTTTATGGAATTTTTTTTTCCCTTTGGCAGCACTGGAGTTTGAACTCAGGTGCTCTACTGGTTGAGCCACATCTTCAGTCCATTTTGCTCTGGTTATTTTGAAGATGGGGGGATCTCAAGAACTATTTGCCCAGGCTGGTCCTGCAATCCTTCTGATCTCAGCCTGTCAAATAGGTAGGATTACAGGTGTGAGCCACCATGCCTGGCTTTGCTGAACTGTTTTAAGTAGAGGCATACTGAAAGTTTTCATTTCTGATCACATGTAGCCCTAGCACCTGTGGGTTCCACATCTTTAGATTCAACCAATATTAAAAAAAAAAAAAAAAAAAAAAAAAAAGCCGGGCACCCGTGGCTCAGGCCTGTAATCCTAGCTACTCCAGAGGCAGAGATCAGAAGGATCGAGGTTAGAAGCCAGCCTGGGCAGACAGTTTGTGAGACCCCATCTCAAAATACCCTTCACAGAAAAGGGCTGCTGGAGTGGCTCAAGGTGTAGGCCCCCATACTGCAAAATAAATAAATAAATAAATTTAAAAATTACAGCTAGGGTGTAGCTGAGAGGTAGAAGACTTGCCTAGCATTTGCAATGTTCTGGGGTCCCATCCCCAGCTCGACACAGCACGTTTGTATGGGACGCATGCAGACCTTCCCCCTTGTCGTTATTTTCTGAGCGAAGTGAATACATATTTCACAGCATGTACATTGCAGTAGGTGTCACAAGTCACTCAGAGCGAATTTAAAGTCTAGGGAGACAGAGATAGGTTCTGTGCAGTACTGGGAATTGAACTCAGAGCCTCTACTTGCTAGACAGGTGCTCTACCACTTAAGCCATGCTACCAGCCTGTACTTTGCCATTTCATATAAGATGGCTTTTGGAACCCGAGAGGGTTCAGGAATGAATCCTGAGAGCAGACTGTATAACCTTTCTGCAGATTTAGATATGGGACATCAATCGCTCTTATAGCACAACCTCATACTGACCAAATACAGGACACAACCGTCCACACATGATGTGTTTACCTACCCTGAGCAATGTCCAGGACAAACTGACGGCACTGCACTCTGACCCCTACACAAGCTGCACCTCTACTACGCGTGAAAAGAAAACCCAAGGCATGGAAAAATCACTGTAGTTGAACTAGCTAGCTGCGAATGCATCTTGCTTGTTTTTTTCTTTTTTGCAGTGCTGGGGATGGACTTGCCTGGTAAGTCCTCTACCACTGAGCCACACCCCCCAGTCTTCTCTTTCTCCCGTCACCCTCTTTTTTGACAGACTTTTCCTATACAGCCCAGGCAGGCCTCAGACTTTTGATCTTCCTGCCTCAGCCTCCTCCCAAGTGCTGTAATTACAGGCATGCACTAGCACACCTGGCTATTTTGTAACTTAACATATCCAGTAGAACTTTTGGCAGTTACTGGGGTTTAAACTCAGGCCTTGCCCTTGCCAGGCAGTGAATATGCCACTTGAACCATGCTCTCAGCCTTTTCCACTTTAGTTATTTTTTGAATAAGGTCTCTTGTTTTTGCCTAAAACAGCTTTGGATTGAAATCTTCCTACCTATGCCTCCTACGTAGCTGGGATTACAGATACACGCCAATACTTCTAGCTTATTGAGATGGTCTCACTAACTTTTTGCCTGTTCTCTGCCTCCTGGATAGCTGAAATTATAGGCATGTACCACAGCACTGGCCTCCAGTAGGACTTTTTACTTTCTATTTCTCACAGGTGAGCTATGGTGTCACCAGTGAGCACTGGGTCATAACCTGTGGCTGCTATGTCTTACTCTAGTGGTGTCTGCTGAACTTCTCAGCTACATGGGAAATCCCACACGCACATACTAAATGTGGACACACCCCCTTGGGACCATCTATTTCCAGATGCTGAGGTGAAGGGCGGGCTGCAGGAGGTCCATGTGTTCCCAAAAGGTAACAATTAGCCAGGGAGATGCTTCTCCTTCCCAGGAAATGTCTGTCTGTACCAGAGAGACACCTCTGCCCTTGGGCAATAAAAAAAGAAAAAGCTGTAAAACCCAATTTCCAACCTGACCCAGGGGACCACCGGTTTCCAGGTCCCGCTGCATGCCCCCATGCAGCCTTTCCCTTTTCTCTACAAATAAAATCTTTCTGACCTTTGCTGCTCGAATCTGCCTTTGATTTCTATCTCAGAGCAGACCAAGAACCCTCAACCCGCAAAAATCTCTGTATATCAGAGGAGAGAGCATAATGGCTTGGAGCTCTTGGGAAATGGGGTTCCCTGGCTTGGGGTCGGGCGCTTGTCAGATTCTCAGTGGCTAGTGCCCAGTGGAGGAAGGCTAGGAAGAGGAAGAAAGAGTGGTGAGTCAGCCATAGACAGCCCTCAGTGCGCAGCCAAAGGGTGGCATTTGCAGTGGGAGGTGCTCAGAGGAAAAACTGCCACTGGGTGGAAGTGGTGAAAGCATCTGACTGTCTTTTGGGAGGTCCTGACCTGGGAAGGAATGCCAGGGTCATTGCTACTTCCGCTCCACCTGTGAGCGGCCCTGGGTTTGATTCCTAGCACCAAACCCAAAACACAGGCAAAAGTCAAGAAGCAAAAGAAAGAAATGTTTTCCTTCTTTTCCAGAAAGAGCAAAGGTAAAGAACCTGAACCCAGAGACAAGCTGTAGCGGCCATGCTTGTGCACACTGGCTGGGTGACATCACAAATGACCAGCAGGTTCCCGGTAGCCTTCCCTGCTCGGGTGCTATAAATAAGGAACACAAGCGATGAGCCTGCAACCATTTTTAAATGCGGGCAGCACAAACAGGCCGACTGCAACCGGATCCCATGCCATGTGGGAACTGCGAATCCCTTAACCTATTAACTCCTGCTAGCAACTTCTGCCTTTTAAACGCAATCTTCTTCCACAGTGACATCCCACACTTTATTTATTTATTTACACCCTGCCTTGTTCCAGAAAGGATTTAACTCAGCTTATGCTAGAGTCAGTCACAAATACACTCCCTAATTTAAGAAGAAGTGAGAACAGCAAGAGGCTGCCCCATTCGGCCCTCCTCAACTCACACCTCTTGGTGTGGGGCTCCAGGCTAATCCCAGCCACCAGCCTTCCCTGTGACCCACCCACTGCTACCTGGAGGGCCGCCTGTCCCCGCCCAGCGTACAGAGCTCCTCCTCTGCTACCTGTTCTATTCACACCCTTTGAAGATAGATGGCCAAATGGATGGGCACACCTTTCAGGGGTGCCCAGGCTCCTTGAGTGACCTCCCACTTTCCATGTGCCCAGACTTGTACTGGGAAGATCTTTGCTCTTTGTGGCTCCTGTCCTGTCTCCTATGAGATAAAGGCCGTGTTCACCTTTACGTTGCACAGATGGATAAGCCCCTCTGTGAAAGCAGCTTGGCAGAGAGGCACAAAAGGCTGCGACCTTCCAGCTGATCATTTGAAGCTGGATTCTAGCCTGGGGGAGCCTGGTCCACCCACTGCCCACACTAGGCCACACCCTCAAAAGCCACTAAGAATGGCTTTCAGTAAGTCCCTGGGGAACTGGCTAGTGCATGGGGCCGTGCCACCTTGGGATCTATGTGTTCCTTCAAGCACACAACCAGACAAGAGGAGGGGACACGAACTGGAGCCGGGGAGACTGAGCCACCCTCAAAGAATGGCACTGGGATCACCCCATCCCTCCCCGCAGGTAGCTCAAGCAGAGAGGGGCTGCGGTCAGGCTGAGGTACGTTCGCGGGGTAGGTAACAAGCATCAGTCGTCTGGGGGACGGGGCTGGAGTCGTTTAAATATTAGCAGGTTGGAGAAGAAGGTGGGGGTGAATGAGGTCTTGCCATGGGGGGAGGGGAAAAGGCTGATGGGAGAGGAGGACCTCCACTGGGGAACCCCTAAGGCGTTGGGGGGCTTCCCACTGGAAAAGTGGGGTGCTGAGGTTGGGGTTTCCATAGGGAAAAAGGAGGTGGGCCTCTCTCATCAGTTGACAGAGGATGGGTGGAAGGCGGCTGGATCGGGGAGTTGGGGGAGGGGCCGGGGAGGGTGGGTGCTGGGGGGGGTGTCTTGCCATAGGGGCTCGGGTTAAAGCTGGAGGCTGGGGTCTCTACACAGAAATCTGGGGCCCGGGAGGGGCGCCGCGGGAAGAGGGACGATGAGGTCTGCACGGGGAAACGACGAGTAACGTGCGGGCGGCGGTCTCCATGGGGAGGTCAGGGCGCGCGGTGGGGAAGAGGGGATCACGGGGAGGTCGCAGCTGGGGGGCTGAGGTCTCCAAGGGGACTTCGGGTTGGCCGTGGGTCACTGCACCGGGCGGTTCTGCACCGGGAGGTCGGGGAGTTGGGATGGGGTGGGGGGGACCCTCCGCCCGGGCCCAGCCTCACCATCCGCCAGGGCCTCATTGCACTCGAAGCTGATCTCGAACCGGAAGGGGCTGTGAAATGGGCTCGGGTTCTCCAGCACCGCCACGTTCAGCACCGACACTTTGGCCATCGCCTCGCTCGCCAGGCCGCAGCTGCGGCGGAACCCGCGTCTGGGTCCGGTGGGGGCGCTAGCAGGGGGCGGGGGGGGACGGGAGGGGGGGGCCCCGGCTGGTCAGCGTCGCAGACTGCCTCTCGCACCTCCTCTCTCCGCCGACTGAAGTGCGCATCCCCTCCCCGCGCCGCCTTCAAATAGCCGGCCCCACCCACCGGCCAATCACCGCCAACGCTCCCTGGCGCCGCGAGCACTCCGTCAGCCAATCGTGGAGCGTGCGCTGCCGCGCGCCCGGACACCCGAAACCAATCACAGGAGCTCCCTCTTTCGCGTCATGCAAGGGAAGTTGGACCATCCCTTGGCTTCCAGACCAGGAACCAATCCCTAGCGTCTCCGACTCGGATATCGACGGCAGGGGTGGGCGGAGTCAGAGTGCGGAACTTCTCTTGCCCAATCCCGAGGTTTCCCGCAACGGCGTGGCCCGCCCACTACTCCGCTCTTCCGGGAAACGCATCCCGCTGAGAGCAGCGCCACCAACTGCCGAATGGTGGCGCGCGGCGCTCGCTTAACAGAGCAGGAAGGGCGGTGCTTGCGCCCACTGTGATTGACAAGAAGAAATGGGGAGGAGATAAAGCAGATCTCTGAGATATGATTGGCTAGATTGGCTTGGGGGCAGGATCAGAGTTAGGATTGGCTAAAGTTTGCACGAGCGAAGCGGAAGTTGGGCGCAGGCGCAGTGGAGAAGGGCGTGCGGAGGAAGGAGCTGCGTTGTCCGCCTGGGCGTCTGTCAGCAGGTGAGCGTTGCTGGGAGCGTCTGTGGGGGCTCCGGACTTGTGGGGCCCGGCGGCCGCGGAGTCCGTTGTGAACGTTGTGAACGTTTGAAACTCGAGGCCAGTTCGAATCCCGCGGCGACTCCCTCGAGGGCCACTGGGAGGTTTCAAGTGGACAATACTGGAAATGGGAGTTCGAGTTCGGGGACAGACAAGGGTTCGAGTCCGGGCTCTGCGGCTCAGGTCCCGACGCGCAGCGAACCCGGGGCACCGCGAGAATTCACCGACGGGAGTCGGGAGTGCGGATCGCGACCGGAAAGCCTCGCTCCCGCGACCAGCGGGAAATAACGGCCGTATACCTCACTTTTTAAGTTAAAAAACAATAATTTTCATAGTGTATTTAATTCAGTGTAATCAAAATGTCATTTCAGATTGCGATCGGTATTAAAAAAAAAAAACGAGGGCTGGAAGTGTGGCTCAATTAGTAGAGCACCTGAGTTCAAACCCCCGTTCTGCCAAAAAATAATTTAAAAAATAAAAAATACAAATGAGGTATCTTGCATCTTTGCACTCAGTGGGACAGTAAAAAAAAAGGCGCACAGGTGAAATTCATTCTAATATATTTAACCAAATATAACCATGTTGTTTCAAATTGTGATCAGCCATTAAAATTACAAATGCATTTTTTATACCGTAGAAAATTAAAAAAAAAAATCAACTTAAATGCTATTTTTTAATTGTGGTCAGCCTAAGGATAGAAAAATGAACTGTTCTTTCTTTTAGTCCGTGGGAAGTCTTGGAGATTCTCTTTGTGAATCTCCATTCTCATTAGAAATAGTTGATCTGACTTTTTAGGTTTTATGAAGATTAAAGTTAAAAATATGGGTTCATGTGCCCTCGACGTTCCCTCTGATAAAATTTTTTTTTTTTTTCCCGGTGGCACTGGGGTTTAAACTCTGGGCCTTACGTTTTCTAGGCAAGTGTTCTACCTCTTGAGCCTCTCCACCAGCCCTATTTAATAGTACTCCTGGAGCTCAAATCTCACACGGTTTAACAGTTTTTGAATTTTAATTGTGATCAACAGTTTTTGAATTTTAGTTAAGTGTGATCAAAAGCTCCGTTTCACAGTTGCACTGAGTTAGAATGGAGTGAAAAATGAGAAGTTCCATTTTCTCTGGGCCCTGTGATGAGCAGCTGTTGTTTTATTGGACAGCACATCCACAAAGTAATCAGGCCACTCCTGGAACTGTGAATGACAACTGGTCCTCAGGGACCTCACCTGCTTTTTGCTTCCTGTCTCTTTCACCCAGCCCAACTCCAAACCATCTAAGCTAACACTCTGAAAATCTGACAGGGTCTCCAAGCCAGAGCCTCCTCCCACAACCTCTTCTTCCAGCTCTCAGCAGGGCTGCTTCTTGTCACTTAGACTTCTGCTCGAAGGTCCTCTTGTCAGAGAATTTTTTCCACAGGTTCCTAAGAGCCATGTCCCCTCATGGGTGTAAATCCAAACAGCACCTATTCAAGCCACTGGCATCTCTCTCTATCTGGCCTCCCTAGAGTCCTAAGGCCCCATGGTGCTACCTAGGCTTCTTTATTTATTTTTTTAATCTCCATTTCACATTCAGTTAAAAAAAATTAGGAGGGGCATTAAAAGTTGTAGCTGGTATGGTGGCATATGCCTGTAATTTTCAGCTATTTAGGAGGCAGGAGGATCAAGAGTTGAAGAACAGCCTCCAAAACTTACTGAGACCTATCTCAAAAATAAAAATTGGGGCTAGAAGTGTGACTTAAGCAGTAGAGTGCTTGCCTAGCAAACATGAAGCCCTGAGATCAAACCCCAATACCAAAAAAGACAAAGGAAAACAAAATTAAGGCTAGGTGTGGTGGCACACTTCTGTAATCCCAGCACTCAGGAGGCAGAGGTGGAGGATCCAGGAGTTTAGGTCAGCCTGAGCTTGCATAGCCATACCCAATCTAGAAAACCAAGGGCTAGGATGTGGCTCTGTGGTAGAGTGCCTGCCTAGCATCCACAAGGTCCTGAGTTCTATCCCCACCACTTCTTAGTTAATGATTAATTAAAAAGAGCTTGGTGTATAGCCAAGAGTCAGAGTTGTTGCCTGTCATGCATAAGGCTCTGAGTTACATTCATAATACCAAAAGTTTTTTTTTTTCCTTTTGCAATTATTTGGCTGAAAAAAACCCATTAATTTATTTTTAATTAATTTATTTTTTGTGGTACTGGAGTTTGAACTCAGGGCCTACACCTTGAGCCACTCTACCAGTCCTTTTTTGTGATAGGGTTTTTCCAAGATAGGGTCTCACAAACCATCTGCCTGGGCTGGCTTCGAACCTCGATCCTCCTGATCTCTTGCCTCCTGAGTAGCGAGGGTTACAGGGTGTGAGCTACCGGTGCCCAGTGAAAACTCACATTTATAATTGGCTTGATTTCTTGGGAATCTTGGGCATACTTGGGACTTTTTGTGACAATCTCACTTCTAATTTTTTTTTTTTTTTTTGGTGATACTGGGATTCAAACTTGGGGCCTCAACTTGCTAGGCCCGTGCTCTACCATTTAAACTACACCTTCAGCCACTTTTAAATTATTTCCACGTGTAATCCGCTTGCTCGTGAAGACTACATCTAAAGGTGAGCGAAACCACCATGTTTTCTGGATGTTTAGTTTGACATTGACTCATCCCAGCTTATAGTTCCCATCTTGGAACTTTTTGGCCTTTGTCCACAGCCCCAGCTGTTTCACACCCTGAAAAGCTCATTAGCCACAAGCATCAGGTCGTGGTGCTAATGATGAAGTGTCCCTTCCCGTCCTACAGCTTACATGATCTTCACTTGTAAACCAGATCATGTCATTACTGGGTTGAAAACCTTCAAAGGCTTATCCTACTTAGAATAAAACCTAAGATCCTTATGATAGCTTAGCGGGCCTGCGAAGCGGCCTCCTCCACCAGGCCTCCTCGTCTGTACTCCAATCCTGCTGGCTTCAGCTGTTGCCATTCCGCACCCATCTCACCCTTGCTGTAGGGCTCTGCACTTGCCAAGCCTTCTGCCCAGATTGTGCTTCCCGCAGTCAGTTGCCTGGCTGTCCCACTGTCTTCCTTCATGGTTCCGCTCAGATGTCCCTCCCAAAGGAGCCTCCCGGACAACCCTTCTTGTCATATCAGCCAACTTCCCTTAGGAGCTCCTGTCGGAATCTGTACTTAGCCTGGTTTTGGTTGTGCTGGGGTCTCAACATCCCTCAGTAGGTTGAGAGCTGATGGAAAGCTTAGCACCGGACCTGGCATACAGAAGGTGTTTGGGTTTTTTGGTTTTGTTTTGTTTTTGTGGTATTGGGGCTTGAACTCAAGGCCTACACCTTGAGCCACTCCACCAGTCCTTTTTTGTGATGAGTTTTTTTCAAGAAAGGGCCTCACAAACTATCTGCCTGGGCTGGCTTTGAACCTCGATCCTCCTGATCTCTGCCTCCTGAGTAGCTAGGATTACAAGACTAAGCCACTGGCGCCTGGCTTTCAGTAGATTTTTTTTTTAAGGAGAAGCTCATATAAAGGCTTGGCATAGTACTTGAAATGCACCCAATAAACACGAATTCCTGGCAGTACATATTAATAAGCAGATAAATATTTACAAAAATTTTTTCCCATTAGTACCAGAGTTTGAACTCAGGGGCTCTTACTCGCTGGGCAGGCGTTCTATCACTTGAACCGTGCCCCCAGCCCTTTTTGCTGTGTTTTTGCCCAGGTCTGGCCTTGGACCTCAACACTCCTACCTGTAGCCTCCCAAGTAGCTGGGATCACAGCTGTGTGCCATTATGCTTAATGATGGAGATGGCTTGAGGTGAGGTTCTAACTTTGCCTAGGCTTCAGATCATGATCTCTGCCTCCCAAGTAGCTGAGATTACAGGTGTGAGCCACCAAGCCTGGCCCTTTTTAAAAAATTTTGTAATGTTTGAGACAAGCTATTTAGTGGAGAGTGCCTCTTCTACCTCAGCCTCCTGAGTGCTGGGATTACAGATGAGTGCTAACACATCCAGCTACTGTTCTTCTCACATAGTGCTTCAGGTGCACACACAGGAAGTATAAGAAGTAAATGTAATAAAATATACTCTTATGCATTGCCAGATGAGGTAGTGAAACATTACAGATGCAGTTATAGGGCTTTATTTACTTATTTTTGGTGGGTTTGCACTTGGACCTAGAGCTTGGCAGCTCCAGGCTCTCTGTCTGAGCCACACCCTGCCCTCTTACAGGGCTTTCTATAGGCCTATATCAAATCCACCCCCATCCC